CTTATTAATTCTCTAAGAGTGGAAATCTCACATATTTTCAACATAAATAATGAAAGTACTATGCCTATAGAAGAAATTCAAAGTCTGTTATAAGAAGTTGTGCAATTGAAGCAAGCAAGTAGATCGACCTCATAATCAAATTTAGAGGATTTTGTTTCTACAAATATGATGGAAACAAGAATTAATATGCCTAAGAAGTTTAATAGAATAAGATCAAAATTTTGAGGATTTTTGCAACAAGTCAAGCTTTATCTAAAGTTGAATCCTTTCTAATATTTTAATGGATTTACTCAAGTTAGATTTATAAGTGCACTTCTATCAGGAAGTACTCTCTCTTAGTTTGTATCTTTAATAGAAAAAGATTTGTAATTTATTTATGATTTGAATTCATTTCTATAAGTATTTATAGCCACATTTGGAGAAAGTAATGAAGAAAGAGTTGTATATACTAAGCTCTTATTTTTACAATAAGAATCACAATGAGCCACCATATATGTTGCTAAATTCTGAAACCTTACTTAAAATTGTAGACTAGAATGACAAAGCCCTTATTAATTAATCTTGATATGGATTGAAAGATAATGTCAAAGACTTATTACTAACAATGCCAAAGACTTATTATTGACAATTTCAAAGACAAAATCTTTGGAACAATTTATTGCTTAAGCCATTGCATGAAAGAATTAATTATTTGAAAGATATCAAGAATAGAGATATGGCTGGAGAGGAACAAATCAAATAATGACGATAGCTATTAAGTATTTAGAAACTTATTTATCAAAGTCAAAAGCAATACAAATTGATATGGTATGTTTTAAATCCTTCACAGAGCAGGAAAAGAATTGACAGCATCAAGAGCTTATACTTATATTGTAGAGAACCTAAACATTTTACTCAATATTATCCAAAGAAACAATACAATTACAAAATGAGAAGCTCGATTGCCAAAAAAGACAATGTGTCAAAAAATGAGTTGTTCTAGCTACAATAGGGACCGTATGGCTGGAATTATATGCAACATCTAGTAAAGGTCCTATTTTTACCTAAGATCTCTCATCTTGTTTTACAATAGAAGTTTGTTTAAGATCAAAAAATCACAAAGTCTTAGTTTTATTAGATTTGGGAGCCTTAGCCTGTTTTATAGATGAAGACTTTGCCAAAAAATAAAATTTATTTTTAATTAAGAAAATTGAATCTGTACATGTAGAAGTAATATATAGATATTAATTTTCTTTTAGAAATGTTATATATGAAACTATTCCTATAGAAGTAATAATTAATATTTAGAATAGTTTAGTAATATTTGATATGATTAAAATACTTTCTAATTTAATTATTTTATGATTATCATGGTTAAAAAGATATAATCTTCAAATAGACTGGATTGGTTGCAATCTTGATTTTTTCCATAGTTTAGCCCAAGGTCTTGCTAGTCAAGTAGAAATCCATAAGTCTAATACATCCAAATTCTTATTGGTAGGTGTGAAAGCTTTCATGCATGCTACAAATGAAGGGCCATCTTTTGCTATATATGCCATGTCCATTGTTGATGGTGAGAAGAAATCAAGTGGTATTCATAGCCAATATCAAGATTTCTACAACGCTTTTTAAAAAAAGAATGCAAATATTCTTCTGGAGCATTGTCCTTATGATTGTTCCATCAATCTTCAAAAAGGACTCAACCACTATTTGGACCAATCTATATCCTATCACAAAATGAGTTAATTGCATTCAAAGAGTATATTAATAAAAACTTGGCTAAAAACTTTATACGCCATTTTGAATCTCTAACTAGAGCTCTTATCTTATTTTTGAAGAAAAAAGACAGATCTCTGTAGATGTGTGTGGACTATTATGGACTTAAAAAGATGACCACCAAAAATAGATATCTTCTAGTTTTTATTTCAAGATTTTTTGATCAATTAAATTAAACAAAGATATATACAAAAATAAATCTACGAGGAGCATATAATTAAGTCTGCATCAAAGAAGGAGATGAATGGAAGACTACTTTTCAAACTAAGTATAGATATTTTGAATATAATATCATATCTTTTAGATTCACAAACACACAAGCTGTTTTTTAACATCCCTAATGAATGATGTCTTTTGTCAGTTTCTTGATGATTTTGTCATCTGTTATTTAGACGGCATTCTAATTTATTTTAAGAACAAAGAATAACATGAAATTCAGGTTCGTCATGTGTTACAAAAACCAAGAGATGTAAGATTATATACAAAGATGGAAAAGTGTATATGCCTCAATATTCAAGTTGATTTTTTTATATACATCATTTCCAATAAAGGTCTTATGATGGATTCAAAGAAGGTCCAAACTATCATAGATTGGAAGATCTCAAGAACAATAAGAGATGTGCAGTGTTTTTTCGACTTTGCCAATTGTTATCAAATCTTTATTAAGAATTTTTTTCAAATTATAGCTCCACTTACATGTTTGACTTGTAAAGACAAACATGAGAGGAATAAAGAAGCTAAAGCATTGTTTGTTGCTTTGAAGAAGAAATTTACTTCTATACCAACTTTGTATCATGTCCACTTTTCTAAGGCATTCTTTATGATAATAGATGCATCAAACTTTGCCTTTGGTGTAGTATTGTCACAAATGGGAACAGATGACAAATTCCATTTAGTAGCTTTTTATTCCAAGAAATTTTCAATAGCCAAGATTAACTATAAAATCCATGACAAAAAACTTCTTGCAATTGTAGATTCATTTCAAGAATGACATCATTATCTTGAAGATGCTTCAAATCTAGTCTAAATATACACAGATCACAAGAACCTCAAGTATTTCATGTTAGCACATGTTTTCAATCATTGCCAAGTTTGTTGGAGCATGTCATTATCAAGATTTCATTTCAAGATCACATATCGACTTGGAAAATAATAAGGTTTATCATATGCTCTTTCTAGACACGCTTGTCTTATACCAAAAAAAAGAGACGTATCTTTTGATCAACAAAGAACAATCCTCTTGAAGCTAGAGTATTTTCATCTTCAAGCAATGAAATCAACATTGACTGTTGATTTGACCTTTATCAAATAAATTCAATCAAATATGTCCTTTGATCCTCTTGTTCATGATATCAAGAATCTTTCTTCTAAGTCTCATAATATTTCAAAGTTTGAATTTAAGAACAACCTACTCTATTTTGAAGGATGCTTATATGTTCCAGAGAGAGAAGCACGTTTACGTATTCTTCAAGTATGTCACAACTTTCTAATAGGAAGACATTTTGGATATAATAAGACTTTACATTTATCCCAATAGTCACTTATATGATTAGATAGAACTAGGTAAATATAGATTAATTTCATAAAGTCTTCTAAAGAAAATTTCTAGAAGTTTTATAGATGGGATTTTGACTTTAGATGTGTTTGTAGGTTAGAAAGTTAACCAATAAGTTAACTTCATGTAGTTTTTTATATATTTATACTTAAATATAATATATAATAAAAAGTAGTATGAAAAATATAATAATATATATATATATATATATATATATATATATATATAATAATATATATATCTATATTACTATGAGACAACTAACATATAATTACAGTTGTTTCAAAAGTAATATCAAATTATAAATATTTTCTTATTTGAAAACTTTATTTTCTTATTTAGAATTTAGTACATTTTTTTATAATAATATTATTTTATTATAATCTAAATTATATTTTATATTAATGTCTTAGATGGTAATATTTCATATAACTAAAGAGATACATACATAATTACATCAAGTATATTTTTGAAATGATCTAACAAGATTCAATAGCTAAGTTCCAATAAGATCCATTTATCCAAGAATTATAGATTATTTATTCAAATTTTGAATAATTTTAGCACACTTAAAAAAAATTAATATTTATAGTACAACATCTAATATGTATTGTTCCATAAAATTCTAGTTTGAATACTTGAATTATCAAAAAGCTAGAAAAAAAAATATCTTGAAGTGTAGTATTTTTTAAATGAACTTGATAGGTTATTTTATTTTAAATACTACTTGAATTTTTAGAATATGTATTTTTAATCTTTTAAAGACCACTTCATATATATATATATATATATGAAAGAAAAATTAATGCATTGATTAAAAAAATTACTACAAAATCTTTATGAGTCTTTAAAATTCATTTTAAATCACTTTTTTTTCTTGTTATCATACTATTTTTTCAATAACCTGAGCAAAAAATTTAAAATAATAGTAAATTCTAAAAATACTTTTTTATTTTTAGAATATTTTATGAGTATATTTTTATATTTTATTATGAATTAATATAATCTATTAAATATTTAAATAATAATAATAATAATGATAAAAATTTAAAATTTAATTTTTGATTCAATAATATTAAAAATATTTCAAAAGACATTTTTAGATAAATTCTTTATACTATAATGAGAATAAAATATGAATATATATATATATATATATACATATGAGAATGTGTAAATAGATCCATGTTTTACTAAATCAACCATACATGATGAAGAATATGGTAATCATGATGAATATGGTTGGTTTTTGTTGGTTTTGGATCCAATAGTGGAGAAATGAATCTAGAAGTAATTTTTTTATTTTATGAAGGTTAGGGAGGGTGGGTCAATTTAGTAAAAGCCTAGGTCTATTCAGCATTCCCATATGTGTATGTATGGATATATATATATATATATATATATGTTAAAAAAAATTGAACCTCATGTATACTTAGGTCCATTATTGATTAGAGAAACCAAGTAGAAAACACAATTTGGACCTAATTCAAAAAAGGATGAACGATGGACGACGCATAGACGAGCAACGAATGAACACCCCGTAAACGGATGAAGAAAGGAAGATGAAAGTAGACAGACGCGAGAGACGGATGAATGAACCACGGCTAACGCGGTCATGAGGTGAAACCGAGGATTCGGGGGGTGGGGGGAAACACAGACCCATAACCCCACTTGCTCGCAGACAGTGGGAGTGGGGGAAGGTGGGATCCCGTTTGGCTTTTGTTGCTTTGGTTGGCTCGTCGTCCTCCTCCTCCTCCTCCACATTCAGATCTGTTGTATGCCCATCGCCCTCCTCTTCTTCATCTCCCTTGCCTCGCAGGGCCTCTTCTCTTCGCTTCTTCTGGTTCTCCATATCTCCAACTGAAAGGTAGAGAGAGAGAGAGAGAGAGAGAGAGAGAGAGCATTGAGCCGTTTTATTACACACCCTGTGGTGCCGTTGCTGTTTCGGATTCCTCACACTAACGTGCTTCGCACATGAGAGAGCAACTGGTAAAGAGCTGCACCATGTGTTAGACTAGGTGGGAAATAGTGAAGCATGAGAAAATGGGGTATTTCGATCGTTTGTGATTATGCCCTGAGGATGGATGTTCGGTCACTCTCTCCCTTTTTGACTGATGCGTGTATCGAGGTCTGCGGTTACCGATCTGGGTTGTGCTGTGGGTTGATGATAGAATAGGTTTTTGAACAGTGGGTGGTGGTTGTAAATTAGAATGTGTAGCTCCGGAACATGTTTATTCCTTCGGAGGATGTTAGGTCTTACTTTAGGTTTGTGTTTGTGGTGCCTGAGCTATGCAGGAAACGGGGAAGCGTTTTCGTAGTTCAGAATTGCTTCGTAGTGTGTTCAGGGTGTGTGGTTTCGGGTTTGTGTATGAGATTCTTCAGGGTGGTGCGAAAACGTTAATTTGTGCATGTTCTGTGGCTGATGATAATTAACAACAGTAGATTTGTTAGGAGTACCTCATGATTTGCATTCTTGGTGGCATGTGAACAAGTGGAGGCGAGGAAGTTGATATTTTTTTGTTTGACCTGCAGTGATCAGGAATTTTGGGTTCCATAGCGGGCTTGTCTAATCTTCTAGGCCTAGATCATGGCGTCTTCCGTCATGGCTCTCCTGCCGATCTGCACGCTCTTGCTGCTTGCCCTTTCCTACCCCGCCGCGGCTTTCTACCTGCCTGGCGTCGCTCCCCAGGACTTCGAGGAGGTTTGATCTTTTAACGTTTCATCCTTCTGTTATAAACTTTCTTACATTGGGTATTTTGAAATCGTATGTCTATAAGCTCTCTACACCACGAACTGTAAATTCATGTTCTTAAGTTCGCTTCCCACCCATTTTAGTACTTCAGTATTTCCTTTGAAGACTGATATTATTTGGAGGGTAGAATATTTGTATCTGACTCTGAATCAACTGTTCAGAGATCGTGTAGAGTGCTAAACTACCGCACATATTATGCATGCTATCATCAGCTGATTCTCCCGGAAGTTAGATTTGGGTGCTAGCTTCTGTAAACGAATGGCATCGTGTTATTTTTCTCTCTTGTTTTCTTTTTTCTTTTTTCTTTCTCTTGAGAAGATGGAGGCATGAGTTCTTTAGGCGGGTTGCATGCGATTTGTAAACATTTGCCAGTTAGATTGTCTTCTTTGAGGTGTATCGATTTTAGTTATTTCCTGTTACTTTGGTTACTGATCTCATGCATCACATGTATGTGTAACTTGCAGAATGATCCTGTTACAGTAAAAGTGAACAAGCTTACATCGACCAAGACGCAGCTGCCATACAATTATTATTCGCTCGATTATTGCAAACCTCCTAAGATTAAGGACTTCGCTGAAAATTTGGGAGAGGTGCTTAGAGGCGATCGTATCGAGAATTCGCCGTATCAGGTGTGTTAAAAGTATCACTTTCAGTGTAACTGGAAATTCTTTTATGTCCATTTTAATATATGTCGTGTAGTTGAATAAAATTATTTTATACTTGTTTAGTATTGGCACTAATGGTTGGAATTTTGGGGTAGTTTGAAATGAGAAATGATCAGCTGTGCAAGATTCTCTGCAAGAAAACGTTCTCTGCGGAAGCGCTCAACAACTTCAAGGATAAAATTGAAAACGAATACCGTGCCAACATGTGGGTGATCTAAAGATTTCGCAGGAACTCAGTATATGAAGGGTTAAAGTCTTATAATACATTGTTATATTTGTATGTTCGAATTTTTTTATTTATTATTATTTTTCTCCCATCTTATTTTGAAATATTTATTCGTCTTTACAACCCGGATCGCACGACGCCAGTTTGCGTTACCTGGTGTAGTTCACATATTGTTTTTTGAATCATTTCATCTTTAAATCAGCCTGGAAAAGACTAGGATTTTGTTTTTGAAAATAAAATGAATCAATTGTAACAGTATGTCTGTCAAATATCAGGATTTTAGACAACCTGCCTGTAGCTGAACCGAAGCAAAAGCATGACAATGGGCAAGCTATTAAGCTGTACGATAAGGGATTTCTTGTTGGGTTTAAATATCAGGTGTGTTACAGCTCTTGTTCTCTAGTGTACTTTATTTAAAGTTCGGAATATCTAAGATCTAAGATTCATTTTTCCATAAGATTGGGATATAAAATGCGCATGGTAATTATTTTCTTCAGGATAGCAAAAAGTTCTACATCAACAATCATCTTGCCTTTACTGTGCTGTTTCATCCTATCGGTGATGGCAATGCCCGTATTGTGGGCTTTGAAGTGAAAGCATACAGGTGTGTATACTCTCATGGTATTCATGTAATGTGGATGGTATCAAAATTAGGTTGGGATATGATGCGCGGTGTATGCTTTGCACTGCTACTATTTTTTGGTTTTCAGTTTCAGGTTCTGCAGAGAACATTCCATTGGTGTAATGTGGGAGATTAAATGTGGTCTAATTTGGGAGATCTAACGTAGTCTTATTTGTAGATGTTTGGCAGCTTTCTGGTATATATATTCGAATTGACCTGAGAACTTAATTCATTATTTATCAACAATCTTTAAACGAAATAGTATATCTTACTGACATTCACTTTTTAATTTTCTCCCGTTTGTGTTAGCGTAAAGCACAAATATGATCGTTGGGAGGATCAGAAGACGAAATTGTCTACCTGCAACCCCAACACCAGGACTTATGTGACATATGGTCAGGACCCCCAGGAGTTAGTTGAAGGCCATGAAGTGGTTTTCACTTATGATGTGTCGTTTCAGGTGGGTGATTACTTCAGTACTTCCTTTTGCTATTACACAACTTCGACAATCACTTGAATTGTTATTTGCCTCTCGTTTCGGGATTTAAGTCGTTTGAAGATTTTTTGTAGAATGTCAGCTACTAGTCAAGTGTATCAAGATCATTCTAGCTTCTCCAACCCAAGCACTTGGCTTGCTTTGTGCTGTGCAGGAAAGTGACATCAAGTGGGCATCTCGCTGGGATACATATTTGTTGATGACAGATGATCAAATTCATTGGTTCTCCATTGTTAACTCCCTCATGATTGTCCTATTCCTCTCCGGTATGGTGGCGATGATCATGATGCGTACTCTCCATCGTGATATCTCCAAATACAACCAACTCGATGAAGAGGATCTTCAGGAAGAAACTGGATGGAAACTTGTGCATGGAGATGTATTCAGACCACCAAATTATGCTGGTCTCCTCTGTGTGTACGTAGGCACAGGGGTGCAATTTCTTGGAATGGCCGTGGTCACTATGATTTTTGCACTTTTTGGTTTCCTTTCCCCCGCTAATCGCGGTGGATTGATGACTGCCATGTTGCTATTATGGGTATTCATGGGGCTGTTCGCTGGGTATGCCTCATCACGATTGTACAAGACGTTTAAGGGCACCGACTGGAAGGCTAACACTCTAAGAACAGCACTAATTTTTCCTGGAAGCATTTTTGTCATTTTTTTCATCCTCAACGCGCTTATCTGGGGCCAGAAGTCATCAGGGGCTATACCTTTTGGAACAATGTTCGTTCTTATGTTCCTCTGGTTCGGTATTTCTGTCCCCCTTATCTTCGTTGGTAGCTATTTTGGCTTCAAGAAGCCAGCTGTCGATGACCCTGTGAGGACAAACAAAATTCCTCGACAAATTCCTGAGCAGGCTTGGTATATGGCACCCATATTCTCCATCCTCATTGGTGGAATTCTTCCCTTCGGAGCCGTCTTCATTGAGCTCTTCTTCATCTTGACATCAATTTGGCTCAACCAGTTCTACTACATTTTCGGGTTCTTGTTCATTGTCTTCTTGATACTCATCGTCACTTGCGCGGAGATCACCATTGTACTTTGCTACTTCCAGCTGTGCAGTGAGGACTACCATTGGTGGTGGAGGGCTTATCTCACTTCAGGCTCCTCGGCTATTTACCTGTTCCTGTATGCCACTTTTTACTTCTTCACAAAGCTCGATATCACGAAGGCCGTTTCTGGCGCTCTTTACTTCGGATACATGGTGATTATTGCCTACTCTTTCTTCGTCCTCACAGGAACAATGGGGTTCTATGCTTGCTACTGGTTTGTGCGGATGATTTATGCATCAGTGAAGATCGATTAAGCTTCAGATTCCCATCTGAGTTATCGTCAAGCGGAGAGTACCTAGAAGAGCGCCTGTAGACCAAGACTAGGCAATATTTCTTAAATTTTTGGTCACAGGAGTGCACATCTTGTCAACTTAACACTGGTCTTAGCAGATTTCCTCGGCCATTACCAATCTTGCTTTCTCCATAGCCTGTGGCGACATGGATGGCTGAGTGTGGACTGACAGAGAGTGGGCATTAGGGCTCAGATTAGCAGAGCAGCACTGAAATAAGTAGCAACCATATTCTTAGTCCACATTGACATGGAGGTTGTCCTTGTCTTTTGACAAATGCTTCACCCCTTCAAAATGTCGATCCCTAAGGTCTGATTAGTTTTTCAAGATTTTTTCAAATTTAATGATAGATTTAAAAATCCTCCTTCCCTCTCCCTCCAGCATGCATCTCACTTTCTTTGGTCAAGGCCAGCAATTGCTAAATACTTTTCATGCGTTTGTACTGATACACGGCAAAGTTCTAGTAAATTTTCATCAGAATCTGATGAGATGATAAGAAGGATATTCTTTCACACCATGATCAAAACGGGGTAATTCAATTGGATGACATGAAATCAATAGGCTACGACTAAGGCTGCAACTTTTCTGTGCAACATTAACCTGAGAAAGTCTAATCAATTATTTCAGTTTGGACGGTGTCTCTAAGCCTGGATACATCAATTCAAGATTCTGACAAACCAAAAGTTGTATTATTTGACAACGTCATGAGAATGATTCTGACACAACGTGTCGGCACACTCATGGAATGAGGTAGTTTTTGCTTACAAGCGGACAAGCAATGTTCGATATCAGAACCATAATGCAATCTCTATTGCCAAAAAAATTCAGAGGATGTGAAACGGGAAGTCTTTCCAGAAGGCCATCCTTCCCGCAACAATCCACTTGCCGACTTGCTTTCCGAAACCCACGTGCTTTGCACCATCCTTTTTCTGCGGTAGGTTGTGCAACGATTGTTACCTCTATCATTAAAGCTAAGCAGCTATGATGTTGTCACCTGAACCTCGGCAAAAGCTGAGGCTCAATCCGGTAGGAACATGGGCAAGGCTGTCTACCGAAATGGGTGAATATAATGGTGTAGCTGCAGTTATGGGAGTTTGACTCATATAGTTGAAGCAGAAGAGTATGCAAGCTCAGTTTTTGACCGTATCCAGAGACTGGATAGCCATGAGCGAAGTTCAGCAAATGCAATCAGAAATTGCATAGGAGACTGCACTCCTTGTATCCGGCATATGCCCTGGTGATACTCGGGCCCTCCCGGACAGTGAAGTGGTGGTTGGCGATTGCACTGGATATACCCTGGTGATACTCATACTTGTGAGGCTCCTCGGTTTAGCCGGATATCAATATCAAAATCAGAACTAGCAAACAATTAGAGACAGGAAAGATGGACATTTAAATTTACATACATGACCAATTATTATTATTCAGTGTTAGTATATTTTTAAATATATCATAAATTAAGAACTTAAAAGTATTGTTAGTTAGAAATCCTCTTTTTATGTATAAATATGTAAATATGGGAGGCCATTTGAAATAATTACTGCACTTAGTGGAAATTAATCTAATATTAGTAATTTATTCATCTTCCTCGGCTTCTGTAAATCACCGAAAAGGGACACTCTAATTTCTAAGATAGGCAAAATGGAAGCGAACGAGGGATATGCTACAAGAGGGGGGGAGGGGGGAAGACGGGCCCGGTGAAGACCAACACAGGCGGACGAGCTCACGCTTCTAAACCCCAAACCCGGGCGGGGCAAGCGCTCTACCCGCGCCGCTTCGTCTTGCTCCGTCTCCCGTCCCTCCCAGTCTAGCCCTGTCCGAAGCTTTGATGTCCGTAGCCATAGCCATCCACAGAACTCTCTAGCACATTGCCGCTCGCTTACATCGTCTTTCGCGTACTCGATTCCTCCTTCCGCATCTAGATCATTACTTTTCTTTTTCTCCAAAGTGCAGCAGCTTTTATCTTGCACTTTTAGCGGCGGGAGAGAACTTGTTTTGGAGGCGGGAGGCATTGTTTTTTTCGTTTTTTTCTGGAGTGATTTGCATTTCGTCCTGGTTTAGATCACGGAATTGTGAAAGAGATGAGATATAGCTAGCCTCCGAAACGTGAGATTTGAAGAGGAGTTGTAGTTCTGTAAGAGTGAAGCTCTGAAGTTATTGGACTGCATCAGAGTGTAGATGGAGGAAATGGAGGATTGAGATTCGAGGCTGTGAAGCACATCTCAGACTGTTCTTTTGTTCATATTCGACGAACTGGCAATGCTGGTGGTAGCGTGCATGCCTTGGTCGTAGAAGTTGGACGCTAGTTCTTTCTGGACGGGCGTGTGCAGGGGTTTAGTGCTGGCGGCGTCTCTCCTGTAGACGGAGGGTTGGACTTGGGATCATATTAGCGAGATGCTTCATTCTTCATCTAGTCGTCGTTGCTGAAACCCGCACCGCTGAGGAGGTTCGTTTGTTGGAAACTTCAGATTAGATGACTTAAAAATGTTTCTTAAGCCGCATTGCCTCATTTGACTTGACTTAGAGTTAAATCATTTGGAATTGGACTAGCTTGCACAGTAACTCTTCTAGTACAGCCGAAGACTTTTGGTAGGCCTCAGGACGAAGTTTGTGTCATATTTATTTGCTGCATAAAGTAGGGCTCTGGCTCCTACTTTGGGCATGTGAGCCAAATGTCAAGAATGCGAGGCTCCTGTGTTTACGATCCGAAGCTGGACTCTTCTTGCTCCGGTCTTTACCCATTAATTTAATCGGTCGTTCTTTGCTCTTAGTTTGAAAGCAGTTTTTGCTTCAACACCGTGCTCCGCCTATCTGTACTCTATGTGTATGCTAGTATGCAGTTCATGTTAAGCGCTAACCATCTATCGTGACTGTAGGGGGATGATGGATGGTACTATTAGGCTGAAACTTCCATCATTGGAGTTCTAGCTTTTTGTTCTGAAGACAACATGGTCTCAATTTGGGAGACCGAAAGGCCTCCATCGGTGCAAGACTACTATTTAGTGTGCTACTTCGCTCTTGCTTTTCCTGTAGCTCGATTTTTACTGGATTGCTTCCTCTATCAGGTACTGGTTGCATTTTGCTTACATATTATGTTTTTCGAAATGAAATGTCGATCTGAGACTGTCGGGATGATTCATAGGTAGTTCCTTCAGTTTCAGTATGTTTTCACTGAATTATCCTGTGGATGCACATTCTTTAGTTCAAGCTGCTTGTCATCGAAGTTGAAAGCCAGCACATTAGGCACCTTTAGGAATATTTATGCTTCTTTGCCGAAGTTTCGTGCTATAGTGGCTTGTTGCACAGAGTAAGTTGGTGAACGTTGCTATTAATGCCATTATATTAATTTTGGTAGTCTAGAAGGCCCTAGGACTTGTGAATCTTGACGTGATTTTGGATTTCAGAAACTCGCAAGATGGTGTATTTTTCCGCATGGAGTAAAAGGCTTGAAGAATGGTGCGAGGGAAGCTGGAGAGAAGAAGATCCCCAAATTTACTGAGTCCGCTTGGAAACTTACATACTACCTCGCTACGGAAGTGTTTGTTATCTTCATTACCTACAAAGAGGCATGGTTCGGCAACACCTCTGCGTTTTGGCACGGATGGCCGTATCAAACTGTGAAGTACGTCGCATTTTAGCTGTGTGCTTCACCATTTCATCAACATGTGCATGTACTTTGATTTTCAAATACGTGTATCCGGATTGTTTTCACTCATGACTAGTGACAATTTCTCTTTAGTGAATAATGGTCTTTGCTGCATTACCTGTCATCCACCGTTCTGTCTATGGCTCTTGCTGAAATTTTCACAACCCTCATTGAGGTAGCCAGCAAGTTCAAGTACTCCAGTTCATGCTTTTAAAATAAAAGCATTCTTTCTTAGACGAACATTGCTAACACGTGAATATATGGATATAGTATTTCTATTTATCGTAAATTCTATCAGAATAATGTAGAATCTCAAAGTTTGACAGGATGGATACATTGTCTTGGGCGCAGGTTTCAGCTGACGTTGTTCTACACCTTTCAATGTGGCTTCTACATATATAGTGTGGCGGCATTGTTATTCTGGGAAACTCGAAGGAAGGATTTTGATGTTATGATGACTCATCATATTGTGACAATTGGACTCATCGCTTATTCTTATATCACCGGGTATTCACTTCCAAGCAAATTCTTGCATTGGATGTTTTGTTTTGTTTAAAGATTTATCCCCTCTTTTCTGTGACCTAATAGATTCTCATTGAATTGACTGTCATTTCAGATCAATCATGCCCTTTTTACATCCTGAGAATTCTACGGAGATGTAGAGAGAGGGATGAAATGGAACTTGTAATCATGTCCTTGGTTAACTATACGGTTCAACGTTTAGTACGTTAAGTTCTCCACTGAATTCTCGTGAGTTGCAGGTCCTTTCGTGCAGGTTCCATTGTGCTTGCCCTTCATGATGTAAGTGATGTTTTCATGGAAGCTGCGAAGCTCTGCAAATACAGTGGTAGCGAGGTGGGGGCCAGCGTCTCCTTTGGCCTATTTGTACTATCGTGGGTGCTTTTGCGGCTGATCTACTTTCCTTTCTGGATTATCTGGAGCACCAGGTTCGTTGCTGTTTGTCATTACCATGAAAACTTCACATAGCAGATCGTCCCCTTAGATAATCCCTCTATAATGAAACCGTTGAATCCTCGCTCAACCTATATTTGGATGCCGAGTATGACATAAATTCAAGTCTTATTCTAATTTTGAATGGGGGGTTTGCATGGTTGGCAGCTACGAGGTCATTAATTATGTGGATCTCTCTCAGTTCTATGTATCGTTTCAATACTACGTTTTCAATATGCTGCTCATCACACTGTTGGTGATACACTGTTACTGGTGGGTGCTGATATTGAGAATGGTTATTAAGCAATTACGAAATTCCGGAAAAGTTGGAGAGGACGTTCGCTCAGGTCCTTCTCACATCCACATTATGTTTCTACTGTCGAAGCAACTGTAAATGCCTTTCTGTCTTTCAGCTCAATTAGCTCTATATACTGTTAGCATACTCATCTATAGAGCCTGTAAGGCCGTATGCACATCTTTCTCTTTCTCTTTCCTCTCCTGGATATTTGCCTTCATTGCGTACATACTGACGTTGGAGTTCTTTCGTGTTTTGCAGACTCTGAAGATGGGTAGGAGCACTTGCTGTGGAGGTTTTTGGAATGTTCCTGAGCCAATAGATGACATAGCACAACATATCTTGCAAAAGCATATGATTTCTTCACTTACAGTAGATTGTTTGGTAAACACGATATGCGGTTCAGCATTTTGTGGTGTTTCATCAGACTTGTATGGTTATCAACTTAGGGTGCAATCCACTTGTAGGTTTGAGTTGTGTGGTGGCATATCGTCACTGCTGTAAGGTCTAATGACTCAGTATGATATGATTGGTCACTGTGCGAGCTCAAGCAATGTTTGAGTCCAACCTTGTGACCAGTTTTAAACTGAGTTATATGAGTTTCGAATTGGCTGGGTCCATGTGTCCTGGCTTACGTCACCATTGAGTTTTAGACGCTTTTGTAGATCGCAACAGAATCTCAGTTTGTATAGAGGTTATGCAGGTTTTGCGCTCATAGGTCTGGCCACATGCCTCAAGCTATATTGACCTTGCTTCTCAGGAGTTATGAAATCTTTGAACATGAGTGGTACGTGCTACGCTGGAGTAACTGGATAACTGGAGCATAGCACGTACTCATGACAATGTCCAACGTCGTGATTCTAGCGTCAGTAGTGTGCGAATTTCTCGCTTTACTATCTCTCTGATAAGTATTCATTGGTGTGGCCTATGGTTTTCACGTTTCATTCCTCCTGATAGTTTCACTCATTGATTCATCAAAAATTTAGATAGCACTTAAAAGATCCATGCTGTTGATTTGTCAAGCCGCATCAGATGCCAGAACACGCTTCCTGTTAGTAGTAAGGAAGTGCTTCACATGATGATATGACGTGTGAACTCTCTCATGATAGTTGCAGGTCGCTCCTCTGCCAGTTACATGGTGGATTACCTGTTTGGTCTCTCACATCTTATAATCTTTTTCCCCCCTGCGTCTTCTTCAGCAGTCACAGTCCCGTGATGCTCTGAATTTAATTTCCTTCTCTCTTTATGTTGATGAAGTATTTCGAACAGTGCCAGGTTCTAAATGTTTATCTGCCAAGAGGGTGCACTAAATGACCAGAATAGGTCAAACAAAGTAGGTGCATTAATATTCATATTTGATACTTGGAATGTTGCAGTGCTGGAACAACGTATAAATCCCACAGTCCCAAAGGGTATGTGCTTTGCACAAACTGTTTTTATATAAAGGATAGTAAAGAGTTGGGTTTCAGTTTGGAAGCTGAATAATTACCATATTACAGTCCAGTACTTTTGTGGTATCGAATGTGAAGAGGTTGTTGAAGGGTAGATGTTATCAATCAACTATCTAATCAAACTTGCTATTGATAGATTAGAAATTGTTTTAGTTGTTTCCTAAACGCTGATACACAAATCAAATTGTACTTCGAATCTTGAATTACATTACATTACATATTGTAATTTCAATGTATACAAATAATACGTTTTACAGAAATTCACAGTTTTGATATATGTGTGTGTGAAAAAAGAAAACATATATATATATATATATATATATATATTTGTAAATAAAAAAGAAAAAAAATTACACCCAACAGTCAAAATTAAGTTTTGCTCCATGTGTAGTCCAAAATTTTGTGCAACATTATCTTTGTCATATATTACTGTGAATAATTATTGGTGTTGAACTTATAGTTAGTTGTTGTGATCCTTACTTACACTTTCACAAAAATTACTTGGCACCAATTCTTAGCACCAACCTTACACATATCTCACACTTGTAGAAGTATCATATATTTCTAGACTTTGTTCAAACCTCAACCAAGACATCTGCTTTCTAAGTCAACCAATTAACTTTGTTAAGATTGTAGACAAAACTTTGCCATAGAAATTCTCCATTGCAAGGAGTTATATATTTTTTGATGTGGCACTAAGTACCTTGTTTTATAGCTTCTGTAGAAGTACACTTCTTTTTTAATTACTCCATATACTTAGGAAAAGAAAACAGTATGATGTTTATAATGTCCTATTCAATTGTCAAAATATTCAATAAATGATGGAAGATGTTTACTATGTATGTAAGTTTCAAAAAAATGACATTGTATTTAAATTTTTCTTCCTCTATCAAAAAGTAAATTTATGTATTTTTTTCTTTCATAATATGCACTGAAATGTAGGATCCTCATAGACTTAATAATATTGAAACAACGTCTTAATATTGATGATTATTTTAACGTTATGTCACTGTAAAAGGTACTAGTATATCATGATATTTTGAAATTAAAATATAATCCTTAATTTTTTTTTTCTGTTAAGTGTAATTTTTAATTGAATAAGTTTTTTTCAATTCTGCACATTTTTCATGGTCAATTGCATAATCATAAAGCTAGTACTCATGCATTTTATTTTTACATATTTTTAAAATTTTCTCCATTTTTCAAAAAAAATCCCTATTCATTTTTAATTTTTTTTGAGTTGTTTCAAAAGTTCATATAGTAGAGGTACAAAAACATGTGTGGCATACACTGCAGAAATTGAATCCTTCACATTTGCGCTATTTGTAAGTGTTCTTGCTCTGCTAAACAAAAACACTTTCAAGTTTTGATGTCTCAATGAATTTTCTAGAAATACTAAAAATCACAAAACCTCCAATTTATGTGTGGAATATGATTTTGGAATACAACAAATGAGTGCACGCAAAAAGTTTTCCGATTGGATTTTCGTTATCTTTCGAAAACTTTCGTCCATAAATTCGACGATTCGTTAACGAAATCCGAACTTTCGTCGAAACGGGCACCAGTGACCACGGAGTGAGCTCGCCAGCCCGCCAAAATTTGCATTGCGAGGACTCGTTGCAGTGTAGAATTTGCAGTGTAGAATTTGCAGTGAAGTAGGAAACTTTTTCGCGCAGAATCTGTTTCGGTGACATGGGTTTCGTGTATTGATGTTCGATCTTGGAGTTAGTCTACAAGCTGCAGACGAGAACAATGCCCAGGTTGGATTCCCCGGGGTTGTTTTCCCTAACCCCAAAAATTCTTGCCGATTTTGCAGCCGAAGGCATCCTGTCAGGTAATGTGCCATCTTCTTATGTCGTTTTCGTGTTCGGAAAGATTTTTTTGCAGGCGCTTACAACGAAAGATGGGGATACAACTTTGAGAATTGAAAGTTTACAAAAAAATGGAAAACTGAAAAATCTTACGGATGTGATTGTTCGCTACGTTCTTTTTTATTCGTCCCGGGATCTGTCACGATTGTGTTCATGGGGTGTTCAGTTTTTTCTGATTCTGTTTTTTTGGTCAATCCTTGAGACGGCTCCGTAAGAATTTAAACGCTCTTGGTTCATTAGAGGTGATAAACTCGTGTTTGCTATGAAGGATGTCATGTAATGCATAAGTAACAAGTGAGAATTCTCTTTTGAATTTTTGCTCGTGTAGTTGAAGATTTTCTTCTGGCGCACAACCCAAATTTGGACGAATCTAGAACTGAAGCTCGGAAGCAGGTGAGTCTTGCCGGAATGTAACTATCCCTGCGGCTATGAATTGATTGATACTTATGACCTCTTCACATACGTCAGAAGAATTGTCCTCCCGATAAAACGTTTTCGGTGCTTATATAAGATATATTTCTCTTACGTGAGTAGCCCATTGCTCCAATCCTTGATCCTTGATTCAATTGCCTTCAAGTGATGTACTTAAATTAAAGTTGAACATAGTTTTTAGCTCCTTGTAATCTTTCTGTTGCTTCTTGCAGGCAGTGGTAGATATTTTGGGGTATATCGACCGGCAGTCATGCGGTTTTCGAACGAGTGCAAGAATGCTTCAGGAAATAGAGGCTCGTGGAGAACGATATCTTCCCACCGGTTGCGAGAGGTGCAGTAAGCACCATCACCTTAAATGGATCACATGCATCCGCCAGTTTCTTCGGAATCAACTTAGCTTTCTTTTAGGGTGTAATACTTTGGGGTGTACCTGATGTTTTAAAGGGTTGTGAATGTTAAAAACTGAGGCAGCAAACATATAGTGTTGGAAACATCTACATGTGCAGGCTTATTTTTGACAAGTGAGTTGTTCATAGCAATTCACCTTTTTCTAGCATAGAACAATAGTAAGTTTTACTAGTGGTGCGGTTACATGGTTAGCTGTTAAAGCACTTCTTGTTTTGTTCTTCTGCATAGTAACTCTGTCACGGAATCATGCAGCCTAGATAAGCTCCTTGAGGGAGGTCTTCGAGAGGGGACTGTGACTGAACTGGTGGGCGGCTCGTCTTCAGGCAAAACGCAGGTGAGGGTCGAAAATGCACAAGTTCGCAATCCTTCGTCTTTATAATCAACTTCACTCGTATATTGAGGTGGGTTTTGAATGACTTTCATTTGTCCAGGTATGCATGCAAGTGGCAGCGAGTGTTGCATATCGGTGCCGAGCAATGGTCGGCTTTGTAGATACATGTCATTCTTTCTCAGCAACCCGTCTTTCTCATATGTTGGGCGGCCTTGTAGGAGGTCGAGATGCCGTTCAAGTACGTTTTACACTCATCCATGCTATAACTCAATCTTTTGTACGAATTACGTGCTCAGTTTATCTCAAATTACACATGCCTCTCTGGTCGAGGTGCTCACAGTGCCAGAGGCTTGAGTAGGGTACTGAGTTTTGAATTGGGTCATTTGGTTAGCGGCGGGTTGGAGCTGCTGATGAAATAGGAGACGCTATGAAAAGCATCATGCACTACAGTATTTTCGATATCTTCCCCATGCTTTCTTTTCTAAATCAGCTCCACACCACCCTGAGCGTCCAAGTTCAGGTATATACTCACAAAGATGCTATGAAAAGAATATGACGAACTTGGTATTCACTGCTTGACCTCTATGAACATGAAAGAAAGGAACTAAGAGAGCCATGACTGTCATGTATGTTTATATCCATTACTATAGCTTATCATTTGACTTGTTGCCCGCGCTAGCATTCCTTAAATAGCTGCAAGAGATAGAACCTACTTAACAGCAATGGAAGAATTTTGAGCTCAAGCATGGTTATTCTTGGTGGAATTACTTTGTAAAATAAAGCTATCAAATCACTTGTAAATCCGAAGTCATAGGCTTAATCAAGTGTTTTGGTTTAGCTGGTGCATCGCAGAGTCAGAATTTGGAATCTGGAGGTGAATAATTTATACTTACAACCGCTATGCATGTAGAGTATGGAAGAAAAGGTTATGCGTCTTTTGATCGTAGACTGTGCATCATCTGTTATCTCACCAATCCTCGGTGGGATTCCAGGCACGTTATCAAACCCCATGCTAGTTCCTTTGACTATATATATATATATATATGTGTGTGTGTGTGTGTATGTGTAAAATTCAACAGAAAAATAACCAAAATATTTGTTATGTGTTATTCCTAAAAACACTTGTGCACTTTTTCTCACCAGGCTTTCGCCAGTACGAAGACCATACTGTCATGTTCACTTCAGTCTCCAAGTTTTTGGCAGGTCCTTAGTTTACACCTTAAGCAAGCTGAATATTCACCAGAATTGTTGCCCTTTTCAATTTTCTCTCTGTACAGGGCACGCACTCATGGTGAGTATGGGGATTATTTTGAAGAAGCTTGCACTTGAGAACCATCTTGCTGTTCTTGTGAGTCTCTGCCTCCGTTTCTTGTTGTTTTATTTATCACCATCTTTATTCCTCCCAACCAGTCCTGTCTATGCTTTAGCACCGTTCGTTCTGGAACATATATGCTGATGTAATCTAAATACATCATTGTGAATGAATTTCAAAACTAAGTCTGTTCCTGTGGTCTTTTCATTCATTCATGACGAGGTGTGAAAGCAAGAGATTAGGTTCTTGATATATGGAAATTCGTAGTTTATTTTATTTATTTTATATTTTTAACATGAACAAGAGTGAAGGGGAAAATGTCCAGTTTTTTCCCGAATTATTAGTAGTTTGTGTAATCTTAACTTATATTTATAGCATGCTACTAGATCACAAATCATACAGTTGGTGGAGAAGGAGGCCATCCTAAGCCTGCTCTTGGAGAGACTTGGAAAGCCATGCCTAGTGTTCGCTTGCTTCTCGCACGAGACTTCAGCAGCAATCTTTGTCATGCTACCGTTATGAAACATACATCTATGGTACGGCACTGAACATCTGGTAATGCAGTCAACACGCTGTCAATGTACTTTCACAACTCTCTGCAAAGTAGAGATGGGTTCAAACTCCACACGACAGGCTCACAGTTTGGTTCTGTGCAGGCTTGTAACAGGCATGCAGCTTTTCAAATTACCAGAACAGGGTTGAGGCCCGTCTTTTGAACCAGTAGTTGATGTTTGCATCGACGTAGGTATTGACATGGAGTCAGGTTTTTCTGGATTCCTCAAGTTCTCATGAATAGAGGAGGTGAAAATCTCAACCATTTACTATTTCCCTGTCAATGGTCGTATCAATGAACTGGAGTTGTGGGCGGTTCTCAACTACAAATGGATCGTCTCAGAAGGAGCCCCTGAGGATCAAGTCTAATGCAAGCGCACTGTCGATTTTACCTTATATTGCATGGCAGGTGGTCTCGAATTGATTGCTTGTCTTGCATGAAATTATTGAAACCACCCTTGATTCTTTTCAAATATTTCTGTAGGAACATATTTCAATCAAATTCCATAGCAGAACACTTTAGTAAATTACAAGATTGTCCGAAAAGTCAATGTGCTTATCATACGTACGGGAGGGGATGCACTGGACTGTGCATGTGCCCTCTGAATTGTGCTTTCTAAGGTTTCCATTCTCTTTTTTACGAAGTTGGTCGTTTATTCCATCCCATTATGTTTATTCCACGCATTCACCACACTAGACCTCGGAATGCCTCTCTCCTTGGTAATTTTCTTTCCCGCCCATTTCTTTCTATATTAACTTGGTCGTTAAATTCATAATTAAAGCTCTTAATACACCAATTTGATTAAGCGATCCAACAATTGTTGAGTTGGGGCCAGTTTCCTTTTACACTGACGCCATTTTAATACAGTTTATTCGAATCTTCACCTCTACAACCTCTTACATATTCAATCATAAAGCTACTCTGTTTGTTTGTTTGATTGTCTGTTTGTCTTGTTTGTTTGTTTGTTTTCAATTTTTGTCCTACACATATATACACACACATTTACACACACATATGTATATATATGTGTACAACCATTCAATCCTCCTATCAGAGTTTTTGATGACTTTTTTCTTCCATATCTCCCTCTGGCTGGTGGAACATCAGATATGTAGTTCTCTTTGAGGTAGTCTAACACTAGCTTCTAATGGACTCTCTGAGAACTGCATTATTTCTCAAGGCTTGTTCTACTTTGGATATATGGAATATATGTGTGAAATATAGAGGAAAAGTGTTGTTTTCAAAAGACCTGACCTATCTACTTCCAAAGCTATTCTGACTTCTTCATTGATCTCCTTGTTACATTGGTGCTTCATAATAGCATGCAATACTGTATTAAGAAATGGCATAAAGAATAGAATTTTCTCATGCTAAACTGGTCCTTCATAGTATTTAATTTTTTTGTTGAATCTGTTTCATCCAGAAAAATACTTTCAAAATGGTTCTACTTTATGATATTTTTGATGTAATATGACAACTCCAAAATAGGTTGTGGATGTAACAACACATATATTTCTCTCAATTAAGCATGTTCTATGTTAATTAAATTTAGCTTTTGATGGAAGGAAAAACATTTCTAGAACTGAGTTTCCTTCAAGAAATGGTCACGATCACCGTTCCGCTGCACAGATGCCCAAAATTCACCAGATTCGTTAAAGATGTAAGTGAATTTGGATGTACAAAATCTACGTCAAACACTAAAGTATACAAGCCGTGCCGAACACCCAATACATTATGGAGGATGAACGCCATGAGGGCAAGAATACTATTGCCCTCCAAAAAGCATAGTGCTAAATAAGAAAATAAATAAATCTCCCATGACGACCATAGGATTTCGAAGATGTTGAAAAGTGTCACTGAAAATACATCTTTAATGTAGCTGTCAAAGTACAACTCAATCATTGATGCAGAAACTCAATGAGTCAAATCTAGTGAAAGATTTTCCAAAACTGGGTGAAACCTTCTGAAAACCTAGGTTTCTGAAAATTCTCATTTGAAGAAAATATTGGTTTGTAATATACATAATGGAAGGGATGCTGTTTCTGGCTTTCAGTTGAGCCTTCAAAATATCTAATTACCGCCATTCCGTTCGACTGGAGAGAATTTAACTCACCAGTTAACTAAGCAAACTGGATCACAGAAAAATGATAAAGATCACTGCTTTAGTGACTACAAACGTCTGGGATCATTGCCCCCGCTGTAGTAAGGTGTTCTCTTAGGCATGTTTTTACTATTTTGGTTAGCACAAACTTGAGGCTGGCGCACTATGTAAATTTGATCACCCACGACCTCGTCATAGTGGTCTTGGTTTCGATGCCACGTCCATAGCAAGTGTGTGCTATTTTTCACCTGTGCAGAGAATAGAGGCATGAGATCAACTGCCTGGAACGTGGCTTTCAAATCATATTTTCCAAAACCTTTATGAACCCCCTTTAAATGATTAACCCAAAATTGCTGGAAATCTGCACTTGCTGCTACAACCCCCATGACACTAATTGTTTTTAAAACAAAGATTCCTCTTGAAGGAATACTGTCAGGATAAGCATCTAATATTTGGGTAGCCCAACACACAAGCAACAAGAACCACTAAGGAGATTTAAGATGCAAGAACTGAAGGATTCAATGCTTACCTCTATGATTCCGTGTCCAAAGCTGCTATCACGGAAAGCACTCCAGGCAGGTTGCTTGTCCCAGCAGAACTTGCCGTTGGTAAAGTTGAAGCCACAATAACCACTTAAATTTGCAAAATTCTTGTCTAGAGATTTCATTGGATCAGGACATCCATCCTCGTCATCTGCATGCAATAGAGCCAACCTCTCAGCGTTGCCACCATCTCCAACTGAGATGTACAGTGGGCCACATGGGTCATACTTGTAATCGTATACACGGTTGATTCGTTCGTAAGCATGCACCTGCAGCATGACAGGAAACATAAGATTATCATTGATTGACTTTGGTAGTCATGAACTGTAATAGAAATATGAAAGAAATACCTCAGGTTGTATTTAATTTTTCAGTGGGAGACACTAAAATGATGTAGTGCGGAGTTAGAAAAGTTTCAGTTGTGCGCACATGACCGTGAAGCATGACATCCACCCCATGTATGTACAACAAATCTTCCATAGATTGTCGCATACATTCAGCCTCTCGATAGTGTGATCTGTAGCTATTATACCACGGAGGGTGGGTTGTTGCAATAACCCATGGTGTAACACTCCGATCCACCTTCATTAGATCTTCCCCTAGCCACCGATATTGCTCACCTAGTATTTTGCACATAGCATTGATGACATTTAATACTCGAGAATGAACAAAGTATCCAAACATAATATCCCCACTCCAGGAAAAAAGACATGAAAGTGCACGAAGATCTTCAAATTAGTCGAACTCAGAAACGCAGCCTCACACTTTCTCATTCTGAATTCCAAAAGTATGATTCCAGGAAATGAAGGAACACTCACTGCTTCTGTTGTAATCAACATAGGCTCCGAGCATGACGAAATGGATGCCACCTGCATCAAAAGAGTAGTACATACTGGTACCCGATTTACTCTCTTCTTGAGGAACCGCAAACCTCGCTTTGTAGGACACAAAGCTTTCGTTGTTGATTTGTAATTCATACTCATGGTTACCTTCTATGACCATGAAAGGAACAGCCGAAGTTACGGGCTCAATCATTCTGCTCAAATACAAAAAAAAAGTTACAAATCAGCATTTATAATTGAACTTTCTCTGAAGTAGATACAACTTAGAAACCAAAAGAATATGATACAATGGATACCATCATGTCAGATTTTTACATGCAAAAAACACATGCGCACCTCTGCCACATATCCCAACGAGGTTGATAAGTCTCATGTATGGGAGTGATTTTCCCAAAGGTTTGGCCGTAGTCATTAGTGCCTGTTCCGTTGGTGATGTACAAGTTTGCATATGACAGGTCTCCAATCAGGAGAACAAGATCAGGATTGTTTGCCCGCATATGATCAACAGTTGACGTGGAGTTGTACGTTAGACCGAGGTCTCCAATTATGGCAATTCGAGTTGGGTAACTAGAAGGTCCTGGTGCTGGCAGAGTCTTAAATGAATGTTCACCACTCATGGCAGACAACGTTGGATCACCACATTTGTAGTAGTATGTCGTTTCAGGTTTCAATCCTGTTGCACAAACATCCAGACACTTAGGCCAGACTGACTGAACTCCTGTTCTGATTCTCTTTATAGATCGTTTTCAAAATGCCTCCTAACTCATACTTTGTCAAGGGAACTTCATACCAATCCTGTGAAAGGAGAGAGGCTGAAATTACCAGTAATGCGGACATGATGAATGATGCCGGAAGTATAATTGAGTAGACCTCCAAATGGGTATATTTGGCTGTATACTTCAGACGTTCCAGTCGCGGACTGGGTGTAACGTCCAGATCTAGTACCAAACTCTACAACACTCTTCACAGTGGTCGGGTCCAGTGGCGACACTTTCGGGCCCATCTGCCAATCCCCTGCAACATCAATCACCGGAATCAACATAAGCAAGATCTCACTGTGCACAAAGAGTGTATTCTTGTGCTTCCAAAGCAAGCTTCGAACTTCCAAACCTTCAAAAATAGTTTGGGTACTTGGAATTCTCAACAAAGCAAAGAATAGCACACTCAGACAAAATAAACTAGCAATAAATCCTTAATTCTGATCCAAGTATGTGACCCCAAGCTGAGACGACAGAAGATTCTTGCTTGTTACACTGCTGTACGCAACGAATCAATCCCCTGCGGCAACTACTCTCAGTTTCTCTCCATATGCCGTAACAAGTCATCCCTTTCTAATCAATAATCCGACCAAAATAAGGTCAAAAACAAAGTGCGCCCAATCTTATTGTCATACAACCCAATCGCCCTAAGACTCAAGAGCAGTGTCGCAGAGTTGATGCCACGGAGTAATGAAAATATACGCGGCTGAGTCATTCCACCTCCGAAAAATCCACCCACAACGAAATAACTCGCTCCGAAATTCAGTCCAGGCATTTAACATGACCGCCATTACTTCCAGAATCTCCAATGAACATGACAAAGCGCAATTACACGACACACATAACGATCGAACAAAATACCAGCACAGTATATCTGCACGGAGAGGGAGGTGCAGGGACAATGGTTATACCAGAGATCCAAGAGACCCACATAGCATCGGGTGTAGACAAAGCCAGAGTGATCTGCTCAGGGTAAATGGCGGGCACGCGCTTGACAACCCGTGGATCGTACATGGGCAAATCATCGCTTCCAGACCGCAAACTGGGATCAAATTTCTTCGTCTGGGGCTTGAACGGCCCTTCTAATGTGGTTGGAATGCATTTCCGCTCAACAGCGGACGCCCCAAGGCTGACGACCAAAAGCACCCACATTGGTGCCAATGCAACCGTCTCCCATCTCATGAACCTCATTGCAGACGACTCTCCTTCCAAAACATTCACATGCTCTTCTTCCAATGCCTTCCGCCTCCACGACCCTGCTTAGCAACTAACAGTGTGCCTCTCCAATACTGCTTTGTCTATTTCAAACCATCAGAGCAAAAGTTACAAAATACAGCAGCACAGCACAGCACGTTCCTGCACAACTACAACCCGTGAAGAGTTTCCCAACTGCAGACCCACAGGCACGGCCTCAGTTCTGCCAACTCCAGAGTCCTAAACACGAGAACTCTTCCTTAATATCCAACACTAAAAATTCGCTGACGCTCATCACCAGAGAATCCAAAAATCGACCGTTGTCATGGTCATCCTCCCGCGAGCTGACAATCACCAAACAACAACAACAACAACAACGGAGTGAGCGAGCAAGAGAGAGAGAAAGAGAGTATCGTGCAGGCATCTATGCCGCACGCAGGACTGAAAAGATTTCCACCTCGGTCACGCTGCTGATGCTGCAGCAACAAATCCAGCCCCACTAACCTCCCCAAAACGGATATGCTAAAGGCATAATCCGGCCCCTGTTCCTGATTCCACGTTACCCCCAACTGCTGGAGAAATTGTTCCTTCAAAACCCATAACCCGATCAACCGCATGGCGCAGCTTTCATCGAGTTGCGATTGCGGTTTCATGCTCTTTCCTCGTCGATGAGACGGCACCGCTCCCTCCCCGCCGTTGTTGCCGTCACAGATGCCGCCGCCGCCGCCAGGTCGAGATTGGCCCCGCGGTGCCACAAGTCCACGTCTGCATGCCGCTTTGACTTGTTTGCTTGTTTAGTTTGGTGGTTTGCTTGTAAGTCGGGATCTGTTCTGTGCTGGGTTCATTAGTTAGTGTGGCCTCGTGTTTTAATGCTCGCAATCTTCCTTTTTCTGCTGCGAGGGTTTTCTATCACTGGGATGATGAAACCGTTGAGTTTGAATGCCTGTGAATGTCAGAAACCTCTTCTTCTTTTTCATTGTTATTTATATATTATTTTTTCTTGAATACAAATGATTATTGTTTTGATGGTTCAGGGATATGGTGCAAAGACACAGAGAAGTGATCAAATCAATATTTAGGATTGACAACATGCATATATATATATATATATATACATACATACATACTAGCAGAAATTTGTGCTGTGAGGCAAAAAAAACAAATATGTATGTTAATTTTTTCATGATGTAAAAATATATGTTAATTTTCACATATGTGGCCCTTTCTCTTTACATGTTGGCCAATCAGAAGACATTTTTATTCTGACCAATGAGAAGACTTCTTTGTCTTAGCCAATGAAAAGGCTTTACTTTTTATATTTGTATAAATAATTCTGATTCATTTATTTATTTTAATGAAATTTAATAAAAGTTGTCAAGATTGGGTAATAGGGATTGATTTTTGACTACTGGTTTTGCACAATATCATTGATGCATATGATTTTACACGGGTCTGGCTGCAAATTTGTGAACACATTTGAAAGTTGTAAGTATAGATATTTGTTGTAACTTTTGCTAATGTTGTGTGTAAAATATAGAGATTTTTCCTTGTCAATAAATTTGCACATATTATACATATCACTTGATTCCATTGACCATTATACAAAGAAATGTGAGACTCCAAACTTCAATTACTACCAAATAATTTATTTGTAGTTAGATGTGAATCATCACTTTTGTAAAACTTTCAATGACAATAGTACCACATCTTAACAATTTAATTCATGTGGTAGTATTATCACCCCAACATTTAATGTCAGTAATGATTATATAAGTAAACATGATGATTTTGAAGTCAACCATGATGTTGAAACAATGCAATAAAAACATGTATTCATTTTGCATTATTTATTGCTAATTGTGTCAATAAATACATCCATGTGAGCATGTGCATCCTTGGTTGTAAAGCCCCAATGCTATATCTCCACCTCTTTATAATATCTTTTCGTACGTGTAACAATGAAGAAGGAAGAAAATTCTTCTTACATTACTTTTATTAATAGCGTCTTTGTATAATACTCTAATATTTAGTATTATAAGTTTAAACATTTTTGAGGATGTAAGTCATGTTTTCTATTTTTTTATCTTTAAAATAAAATAAAAAATAAAAAAAATGTACTTATTCATTTCCAAATGCATAGATACTTAGTTTAATTTGATTGCGAATAAACATATAAAAAAAATTATCCAAATACCAATCATATTATCCAATCTCAACAACTCTATTGCATTCTAATATTTTTTAATTAGAAAATAGTAAAATATATATATATATATATATATATATATATTTGATTGAAAATAAAAATTATAATATTTTTTTGTATTCTAGCCATATAGTGTTTTATTTATGTGATTTAAATCCGATAAAATAAAAACGTAATTATTTTGTATTTGCAATTTCAATATATTTTATGTATTTATACATACTTATCTTAATTTTTTAATATTTAAAAGCAGCGTTTAAAATTACAACATGAGCTAAGAAATATAATATTTTAGAATCATGAAACTTCTTGTATTCAATTTTTTTTCGAAATCTTCTTGATATCTTTTTTTTTACATTTCTTAACGTTGATAAATTCTCAATACATTTCTAATTATGATTATAAAAATCATATCATGTTTTACTCACACTCAAAGTTTGGTAAAGAAATCATTCCACTTGTTTGTGTGTGTGTGTATGTGTATATATATATATATACAAAAATATAATCTGAAATTACTATTTATTTTTTCATATTAGACATTTATAGTCTACGGTTTTTGTATTTTTTTCATTAAAGTAGTACAACTCTTAAGATTATAACTTGGATAATTTATTATTTAAAACTTGAGATATATTTAATTCTATTAATAATTTATTTACGTAACTAAACAAATATTACAGTAGAAGTAAATTTGGTTGTTATACTGATAATTGTTTTTTGGAAACAACTATATACATTGAAGCTCAAAATTTGTAAGAAAGATTAACATAGGTGTATAGTAATTTAAAGTTGATTAAGAAAAGTTGCTAAAAGCTGAGCAGCCATGGAATTTGTTTTTAATCTTAGCTTATAGACTTTCTAAAATAAAACAATATATGTCTATTAATGTATTATTAATAAGTGAGTTCCAAGATACATAGCAAAAGAATTATGTTTAGCTATTTTATTTAATTATATATATATATATATATATATACACACACACACACTCATATATCCAAAAAACAAATACCCACTCAACATCTTCACATTACTAACAACTGTTAAAGAATAATGTACAACCACATCTTGTTATCAACACATTGAACAGAGAAATATGCTGAACCAATACTAAAGTACTGCTCACAAATTTCCAGCTATGTTTTCAAATAATAAGATTAATTTACTTTCATGTGTGAAATATCATGCAAAGAAAAAAGAAGTAAAATTGAACAAGATATAGATAGCAATGCCTAACACAATAGTACAAAATTTTAAACTCATTGTTACAAAATGAATTTTACGTGTCATTTTAAAATAATAGGGTGTTTTATTTTGGTGTGCATCCATCCAACAAGTTATTTTAATCAATTGTGAATGTTACAAAATCACATGCCATGAGGCAAAGAAGACTTTGATGTGCATTATAAATCTAAACAAATATGTCAATACTTGTCAAACAAGAGAGCACCTCATGGACATGGTGGTGTGTAAGGAATGACTTCCTTTAGAAGATTCACAAAAATGCAGCCAAAGAGGGAGTTGCTTCACCTCCACACACAAAACTTGGTCATATTCTACTGCATATCCTATGCTCACATGTTTGTACATTGTATTATATATATATATATATATATATATATAATAAAATAAAAAAAAAACTACTTTTGTGCAAAGCCACTTGTGTAAGTATGTGTGCATGATTCACTCATTTATAAAACTAATGGATGGGATATTCTTCCATTCAGAAAGCTATTTGGCTTTGACCCTCATGGTATGAATTCAACCCAATTGTAAAGGATGTTCTCTTAAGAAAAATGTTTGCTTTTTAGGATGTTGCTCAACGTTAAACATGGTGCATTGTTTAAGAAAACATTAAGTTTTTATCTTATATATTTAAAAATGTGAACATGTATACATGTATGTATATAAAAAGAAAGTCATGTGATCATTGGATTAGAGCTTAGCCAGTAGAACACATTTTTAATCCTGCTGATCAATTAGCAGGGATGGCATGCTAAATCTACAGAATTGATGTTGTTGGTTCATCTAAACAAAGCATGTATTCATTGGATTCAATAATTAAATACTCATGGTTGTACCACACAAGACTAAGTCAATCTTCTTATTTGCTACTTTTTTATATTTTTAGGTAAGGTTCAAAAGTATGCTGCAAGAATAGAGCTCAAACAACAAACTTGGTGCAGTCTTCGCTCACATCCTTTGTTGTACTTTCATTGTTTTAGCACCTACAGTGTCTTATGTTATATAATAAATAAAATCTCAAATAAGTTTCTTGTACTTCCAATATAAGACAACAAAAGAATTATCCTCTGCCCTAGATTTCGCATGTTAACTTCATGGTTTTGCACATCTGTAAGAATAGCTGCTTTTCCTTGATGTACATCTGCACGTAATCTATCTTGATTCATACTCAAACATCTCAACTGATTTTGCTCTGATGCTGCCCAAGCATCCACAATAAATTCTTGTAATAACTTTCCACCCTGTAACACAGTTGAGTACTCGTTATTTTCACAAACATTTGATAATTGTGTTCTCTGTTTAAATAGAATTCTTATTTTCCAAATTCTGTGCACTACATTACATTTAGCAGATTCTATTGTTGTTAAAATGATTGTCATCATTTAATTCATCATATCAAATCATTGAGTGTTGTAAAGTATCAATATACATTATTTGCTTAAGTGCATGCATATTTTAACTATTTTTGCAAGCTATCAATAGTTTCAAAAATAAATAAATATTCAGTCAATTTTATAACTACAACTTCTGAAGATATAATGGATTTTTTTTTTTTTTTTTTTTTTTTTGTTTTTTTTTTTTTATGTTTTATGTTTTGTTTTGTTTTGTTTTTTATTTATTTTCATGAGTACCTATTTCATGTAAATCTCAAATCAAAATACAAGTATTTAATGTAATTTAGATGTATTAGATTGATGTATCTTATAAGCATAATTATAATTTTAAAATAATTTTATAAAAATTTATATTCTATTAATAAAATTCAGACATTCAAAAAAAATTGAATTAAAAAATTAAAATAAAATTAAACAAAATGATTGAAAGAAAATTTCAAATTTTTAATTTATTTTATTTGACTTCTAAATGACTTTTATAAAATAAATGTATAGGTGAGTGCATGCTCATAACCATAAACTCATTTGTGCACATTATGAAAGTTATTAAAAATGAAGAAGATACAAGTTTATGATTTTCAATTTGCAAATTGACTGTTTGTACAATTCAACACATAAATTTAAATAAATGTTAAGAAGTTTATATTTTTAATTTGGTTATTTTATGAGTAATTTTTTGTTTAATATTATTAATTAAAAAAATAACTTCAAGAGAAATATTTTAAATTAAAATGAAGTATGATATTTTAATCATCAAATTCACAATAGGCTTTTCTAAGAGTAGCAACATGTAAAATAGTTATATATAGTATTAATTACTATAATTATTTTAATATCCCATAAATTAAATAATTTTTTTAATATGTACATTTTTTTCTTAAATAAATAATTATGATAATTTAAATTGTTAAAGAATACATATACACATGATTTGGATTTTCGATAAAAAAAGTTTCAATAAGCATGTAAATTATTGATAATGGATTGAAATCAAGTAGCAAAGACATTGGAGATATAACTTTATTTTGTTGAATATAAAATTTAATTTAGGTGGTTAAATCTAAGTTATTTATTCTAAATTTTTGAGATATTTGGTTACAACCAAGCATTTTTTTCAAACACAAGAGTGGACATACAAGGAGAAGCTAAATTTTCATGAGCGGTATGTTCTTCCAAGCAGGAAAGTGTGGAATTAATTATCAACATAATTAATTAATTAACTTTAATTATCAGCATATGGAACCTCCCTGGGGACAGAAATATTGTTGAGATTTAAATCTACATGAACATAATTTCCAAATGATAATCTGCATGCTGCTAAATAAAGTTAATGCTGTTATTTCAAGCACTGGTGTGCAGATGATCATCAAATACCAGTGCAGAATCTATTTTGCTTGGGTCAAATTATATTCTGCAACTATCAATTTTTGTAATTGTGCTTCACATATTTGTGTGAACAATGACTAAATATGTGTATGTGTGTGTTGAACATAGTTATAGATTAAAAATAGGATTAAAGTTCTATGTGATTGTCATAGCATTTGTTTTACAGTGATTGAGTTTTTTTTCTTTATTATTATTACTTCATACTACGTTTTTGAAGTGTAGAGCATACTGAAATGTATGCTCTACACAATAGAGTATCAAAATATAGAGCACACACAACGAGTGTCTTTTAATCTCACTGATTAAAATGAATTGGTTTAATTCCATGTGAAGGAGGTTCATAAATTGTGTCAAAGTTTTGTACAAAAAAAAATCACTGAAATTAATATATAACTTATTGAAAATAGATGGTTGATTTTGAACAACTTGAGTATCAAATGTATCATACACATAAAATAAAAATAATATTTAATTATAGGAATTTAGAATTAAAATACTAGAAACAATTAATGAAATTACAGAGTTTTTTAAAATAATTGATAATTAAGATGTTTTTTTTAAATAATAATAATAATAATAATAATAATAACATAAAAATTAACGGAATCAAAATCAAATACTCTATTGTACAAATAATGCATTAATACATGTGATTTGAATTGCCAATCTTAAAGTTGGTTCTATTTAGAGATGTGACTCATTTTTTTTAAAGCAATTTGTGCATCTATTCATATTGGATAAAGCAATATATATACATATATATATATATATATATATATTTGTATAGCACCAACTCACATATTGAAATCTTTTTTTAGAGTACTAGATGTGCTAAGAAAGACAGTTCTTATAGACTCCCTTGATTCCTCTTTAAAACATTTCTTCAAATTAAACTTTTACACCTTTTTCTGTGACCAACAACATGGATTTCCACTAGATTTCAAAGAGCTCAATTTCAAAGTTTAGTAGAATGGATGGTTTGGCAGAACTTTGAAGTGAAGAGACTAAATGATGAGAGGAAAGCAGCGCTAGTTGTAGTGTTCTTTATTTGGACTTCTCATGCATTTTTCTTTGCTATAAAATGGAACTTCCATCTGACAGGATTATGTCGCTACTGTAATCAAATGTAAAACAGATGCATTTTTATGATTTTTAATTTATAATTAGAAATTATATGTAATGTCATTAAGAATACCTTACAAATTAAATTAATTATTTATGTAGGGTGGACAATCACATGTACATGCATGTGACAATTGATTTATGATATAGTTGTTGAAACTACACAAATTGACAGAATCTATATGTCAATTCTTATGTATTCACAATCTTTTCAATTGTAGAATTCATAATGAATTTATTCATGAAACTTTTGAAGCTATTTTTTGTTTTTTATTTTTTGAATTAGTTGTGGTTTTCAAATATGCACCTGATTTTTTGATGTCACAAAACTAAATTGTTTGCAATGTTCTTTGTGTTATTTAAAATGCTCAATCCTTGATTTTACAGAGATCTATTCAAATACTTAGCTGTATTTCTAGACAAACGTGCAAACAGTATCAGTTGGTTCTTTAACACAATATCAACATTATGTTTACTATTATATCTTATTTAGTTTTAACTCTTAGAAAAACATTGTATAAAATAAATACAACTCTAAGTCCACAAATTTTTATTTTAGTTTAAAGTCTTTCATGGTGTGCTAAAAATGGTATATATATGTCTTCTTCTAATCAATTGTGAATTTTGAAAAAAAAAAAAAAACAAAAAAACAAAAAAAACATCACAAAATTTGAAAGTTTTGCACAGAAAATTCTTGAATGGCTTGACACATTTTGCATTCTTATCATTAAACTTTACAAGTAGTTCCTTGAACAAAATTAACTGATTTTTTGCATATTTTCCGTGGCCAATGGCATGGGGTTGTACTAGTATGTATATATGTATGTGTATACATATACATGTATTTTTTAAATTGACCCAACTTGGTTTTCTTGGAGAGATGTTCCCCCATCATTTGACCCACATTTGACGCCCATAAATTTTTGGCTTTGCCAAGACCCATCTGGTGATTTGAGCCACGCAAGCAGGGGCACATTCCAGTGCCTCCTCCTCTAGCACCAGAAACAAGCAGTGGTGCTTCGTCCTCCTCTGTCGCGTTGTTTTGTGAAAGCAAACACAGAGCTGAGTCTCAGTGGTAGAAAGTTCCATTTGAAGCACAGTTGCATCTATGGATGTGAGTTGATACTCACAGGAAGAGGAGACAATGGAGAGCAGACATGCCTCGCCTTTGAAGCTCCAGTTAAGGTATGACTCTCGAGTTTGCTAGTCAGTTGAGTTGGGGTCTTGAAATTGGGCAACAGAATTAGGAATTGTGTTGCAGTTGGCAAACTCAATCTCTCCCCTGCCATAGCTGCATTGCTTACCACACGGGATCTCTGCAAGAGAATACGACTCGTCTACCTTCTTTGCCCTTCTTTCCGTGGACTGATGATTCTGCAGTTTTTGTGGTATGATTCTCATTCTCATTTGTGGGTTTCAGTTTTTTTTCCTCTGGAATTGTGCGCTGCGGGGTGGCCAATAGTTGTGAGGGTTCTGCGCAGGCAATTTGGTGGTCATTTCTCTTTTGTAAGTGGATCCAACCAAGTTTAGGTACTCTTGTGTTGGGAATTGCGAATGTCCTTGGTTAATAATGAATGCGTCAGTGCAGTTCACCAGATTCCTAGAGGTTGATGATGTCAACTCTCAACCTCGGTTTTATTGTCAGGGGACTATCAAACGTATGAGATCATTCATGGGAATTCTCAAGAGTTGGAGAATGAGGAAGAGGAGGAGATCAAAGTATCTGCACGTAGTTTTTCCTTCCAGAAGTGACTAGTAAATTCCAGAATATTTTTGTCAGTGTCATAAGCTGTGTACGAATGTTCACAGAAATGTCCCAGTACATTTTTAGAGACTCGTAGTAATTGTACTCTCTTTGATGGGTCATGTGATTCGCTGATTGTTTCAGAGCAGAGCAGGCACGATTTTTAAAAGTTAGGTTTAGGTCACACTTTCGGAATATGATGAACCATGTGATGATATTTTGTACGAGAGCGTGATTAGTAACCATCGCATAATATTTGAAGAGCTAAAGATGTATGAGCAGGGATGGGGAAATAAACTGTTCTTTTTTCTTTTCTTCTAAGGCTGGTTGGACATGTGCATAGAGGATGTAATTAACTCTCTTGGGTTCCAATAGATACTCCGTCAAGACTTCCTCTAATATCATTCTGTCAAGTTTCTAAACTTACCGGCACTCCGAATCTGCCTTGCCCTCTTTCTCCCACTCATCCACTACTTCTCACATTCTGTTGAATTCTATTGCCATGACTTGTCATGACAGTTATAACCCTCATTTTAGCATCTACAACAGTGTGAAGATTTTCTTGAGTGGCTTTCGGGTGAGTTAGGATTTCGTGAAAGTTTTGTTTTGAATGTAGCGCTTCATACGACATTTGCGCACTCGGATGAAGTTTTGAGCACATTATGAATAAATCTCCGGTTGAAAAGAATATCGGAAGTTCACTGATGTTTGTTCCATGGACATCTTCGGTTTGGATCTATTATGTATTTTAAGTACATACGAAAAAACATTTTTTTCTGAAATGGATGCTTGCTGTGATTGTTTTGCAGCTTTAGCAGATTTCTTCCTACTTTACAGGATATGTTTACCATGCTGTGTGTCATAACTTGTCGCAAACGTAATTGCATGGAATAGCTTTTCAACAGCCATTTTTTTCCAGAACGTTTGGTTCCTTCTCATTACGATAGTTTAGGTGTGGCATCGTCATTTGCAGGTTAAGCATGCGTTTTGTTACAAGCGGAACTTCTATCCTATGAAGGACCAGACTGCAAGGAGGCTGTAGGTTTTGCACACCCAGTTGACAGTAATGGAGAATTTGGGCGGGAAAATGGTAGCTTTGGGTGAAGAGGTGGAGGAATTCTTCACCGACATAAGTCAGAAGGAGACTAAAGCGAAGATTGACAACAAGATGGAATATTTGGATAGACTTCAAATGTTACGGTTAGCCCAGGGAGAAGGCGAACCCTTGCTCAGGAAAGACAATTCACCAGGAACAGATTTATCAGTAGACCAACAGTCGCTCGCAGAAGAGCCCGCTGTTTTTTCTTCGACTACGGAGGGGAAGGATGAAGCCTTCAAACACGAGGCAGAGAACTTTCAAATTACGAAGCAGATAGTGAGAACAGCTCACATCAGCCAGGATGAGGGAGAATTGGAGGAGCATGTGGCTGCCATTGATCATGATCGGAAACCGAAAATCCTGATAGCAAACGAGCAGGACATGGGTACAAAAATTCGAGAGAAGCAGATGGGTGTGAATGAAGAAAGTGTAGAGTTCAAACCGGCACTCGTGAAGAAGGCGGTTAGCGAGCTTCATGGCTTGACAGAGCGGCAGCAAAAATTTCTCCAGGATTTTCATGTCAAGTTTGTGCTGAGGGGGTTAGAGGCGGCGGAGGACGACCAAGCCAGGGCAAGGCAGCATTCCTCACATCGTGTCGACTTGAAGATTCATGCGGACTATGGTTTTGGTGAGGCTTCTGACATCGACATCACTGTCAAAGGCCAGATTGACGCCAAACCAAGTTATGTGACACCGAGAACCTTAGCGACAACGCAGACTTCGGAGCCTGAACGGGCCCCTCAAATAAGGGTTATCATGGATGATGTGATCGACAACCTTGCAGATGTTACAATTTGCAATTTAGATCCAAGCGCAGGCTGTGATTCGAAGCCAACCCCAGATTTTGGAAATGCCATGAAAGATCTGGTTGATGACGACGAACTATCGGAGCTTCAAGGGTTCACAGATCGTGAAGGAAGGGTGGGAGAGTGCCAGGTATAGTGCTTGCGCAAATAATGCTTTTGCAATAGACCTTAGTTCTTAAGTTATCGTGCCTGTAAGTGAATGGCTCTGAGTTGAGAATTATGTCTTTTATTTATGTATTCTTTTCTTGTCTCTTGGTTTTGAACGCAGTGTTACGGAAAAGCAGGAAAGCAAATGGATGAGAAAGACGAAAGTGATGTGCAAATTACAAATGCCTCATATTCAGTGCTCAATGTCGTCTGCCCTGTCAGCGGGGTGCCCGTGGTTGGTCTTAAAGACCCAGTTCGCAGGTTACCCTTTTGCACTTCATTCAAATTATTCACTCACTTTTAGTTGCCTACGCAGCAAACATGGTAAGTGTCAATTCTGCTGGATGAGGATCAATCTGCGACTTCGATCACCTAGTCGCTCCCCAAAACAAGGTAGAACCTGGCAAGAGCACAAAATTCGGTCTTTGCTTGAGGGTTAGATGGGCTATCTATAGGGCCTTTCCAGTCTAAATGAGCTCGTTTGACGTCAAATGATGCAGTGAGGGATGTGAACATGTCTATGATCGAGCGTCCGCTCTCAACTACATATCAAGCATGGAAAAAGATGGCTTCTGCCCCTGCGCAGTTGCAGGTACTCGGTTTCCGATTAATGATGCTTTACTCTTGCGTGATATGTGTGCTGCAACTTAGACCGAAACTCAACCCTCAATCATCAGTATAGTGCCAGTCATTTTCAAACCCCAGAGACAATTAAGTGATGGTATCGTGATATTGTGCAGGTTGTCGTGCTCTACTAGCGGAAAAGAAACTGGTTGCTGACAGTCGCCTTTGGCAAGACATTGAAGAACTCCGCCAGATCAAAGCAGCCTTGTGGGAGAGCCACATGTTGCAGAACTTCGTGAACATCGAAGACAGTGATGAGGATTAAGTTCAAGCACAATGACAACCTGCTGATTGGGATCGACAATTCCCTGACATTCCTAACAGCGCAATTATAATTCTGGCAGCAGCCGAAGCACAGAAACTCTCGTGCTTATATCGAAATGATTAATGCATGGGTTTGAAGAGTAGAGCTTTCATTTCAGGTCCGACCAATGAAAACACCCCTATACAGTTATGGACAGTAGCTTTGGTGATGCTGTGAGGAATACAATGAACTAAATTTAGAGCAAGTTAGCTTCTGTTCAGCTGGCCTTGAATCTTATCAATCAATGCAGTGCAGGGAGCTGAATGTAGTTCCAGTTGCATTTGGTGTGTGTACAGGGCTCTAAGCATGGTTGAACAGAATGCCAGATGTTGCCATGTGTATGTAATGAAATGATCATCGCTTTTGAATGGTAAGCGACCTGGGCGTACACTCTCCCCACACACAGTTGTAGGATTGTTCAGGATTTCTTATTCTGAAAAGAACATTCTCACAAGAATTCCACCTTCTCCTATTATCTAGAAATCATCACGTCTTGGAACCATGTGAACTGGAGATAGGAGATTGAAGGTCTCGGTTTTGTTGGTTTCCAGGTATCGAAGTCCTTGCCATCTTCCAAGATGCACCGTTCGATTGATAAAGTTCCGACAAACAAATGCGGTAAATACCAGATCAATATGCAGTTCTTGTTGTACTTTTGCTGCATTTTCCGCGTTTGAAGGGGTACTGGTTCGAAGGCTCTCCACGTACATTCTCAGGTTGCGGACGATATCAGCTGCATGACACCACGAGTTGAATGAAAACAGTGAACTCGTAAAGGTACAATGCGTGGCACTCTGTCACATTTCACGTCAACTTTAGTATTCTTTTCCAACTAAGCCTTGGAGTTTTCAGCCAGCTTGGAGTTGGAACACATGATTGTTCCAAATTCAAACAACTGGGGTCTCCTGAACAACTGACCGAATCCTTTGTCCATTTCGTTATGAAATTCCATTCGGAACATGGCACCTGTGATTCTCTCAAAGCAGGAACGTGGTCGCTTTGGTTATAACTTTAAACCTAGGGTTTTCATATATGACGTAGTCATTGGCCCTTCCAATCATCGGTGGAGCGTTGGTTAGGTAGTAAAAATCATCATGTTCTCTTCTGTTCAGTTTTGATTTCATGAAGCACACGTTGATCTCATTGTACATGTATTTTTCAATTTTTTAAAATCTGTTTGTTGATTGTGATTTGTGAGATGAAAGTTAGAACTATGAGACAAACTGAGTAAATAGACTGAGACAAACTAAAAAAATAGGTTATAAATTTAGAAAAAGAAAATGGACATGAATCACAGCAGAAAACTTGAAATGTCCCTGACAAGGGTTGGTTGAGACCTTCAAAATGATTCGGAGCTAGTCAGAATACACCTCAAGAAGAATTGTTTGTTCAGTGTGATCAAAGCATTGATGAAAGTATCATCATATAAAGTTCTGAGAGCATATTCTTCGTCGAAATACTCACACCTTAAATGTTCTCGTCACTCTGCGGGACTACATATATACACAGAAACCCCGGGTTTGAAAGTCGAGATGAAGGTGAGCTGGTACCTCGACATCTTGTGGTGCACTAGAGTCACATTCTTTCCTGTTCATCCAGCGGTGCATCAAACTTTGGAGATATGCGCCAATTCTTCCTTTCATGCACTTTAGAAACTGTTTTTCGCGTTTGCACAGCATTCTCAGCTAAACATTGCATGTTCCTTTCAATTCATTAGGGCTCATCAGCTTCATCGAAATCCACACATTTAAGCAACAGACATGATCGGTTCCAAGATTGTGGAGTGTCATAAGAGGTTTTACATCATAATACTGAGTGGCAGATCCTGTAGCCAGTACTATGTACATAGCCAATTCATGCTCACGTAAACCCTAATATGCGGATTCTGTGAACTTGCAATCCTTGGTGAAATTCTACCACTTGTGTCTGGTATAAAAAATAAAAAATAAAAAAAAAAGTATATGCTAGTTTCTAGGGTCTCAGGACACAAAATATCCTTAGTCGTGAGTCTCCTGCAGGAAATCACCCACAAACAAGGCTACGTTCTTCTGGTGCTCGTGTTTCGACCTGCTTGACAGAAATGTCATCTATATTTACTCTTATGGACATAGGGCTCCAATATTTACATCACTACTTCCACAATCGCACAGGGAACACAGATACCTTCATTCCGACACCTTCCAAAAATCGCACCACAACCAGCTATATTGAGACTTCAACTTCTTACGTGGGCTTGGGATTGCGAATGGCCGTGTGTTCGCTGCATATGGAAGCGTGAATTCCATATACTGTCCTCTTAAGCCCTTGCGCTGCTGATGATGTCGAGTAAGGCCAGTCGACTGGCAATCAGCACTCTAAAAAGCTCATTCACCTGAGCTTCCAATGGCGTCAATCCCTGTTCAAGGTCTGACGAATGAATTCGCAAAGCTTCAACCGCTTGAGCCAGTTCCCGCGCTTGTTTTCGCGATAATGGGAAGGCTCTCTCGCTCAAGTGTTGATCCAAAACATCATGCAAACGCCGCACCGAAGCGTCCACATTGTCGAGCTCGCGCAGCAACGCAATCGATCCCTTGTTTTTCCTTTTGTCCGTCTCCTCCTTCACCCGCTGCTGCAAGGAGATTAAGGAAGGTGACCACTTGTAGTGGCTTGCCACACTCAAAGTTGCCAAAGGCCGCTTCGGTTTACACGCAAGGGCCGTGACGAGCAATCCACACAAGAAAATTGTTGTCACTTTCGCTCCATATATCGCATTCAGAAAGCCGTTACCCTTATAGGCTTCTTGCCCCTTAGGATTCACGAGTTTCTCTCCGATGGTTCTCAACATAGAGCTGCAATTTTCCAACTTCGATTTTGGGAATCCTTGCCTGTACTCAGTATCCTTCCTCACAATGGCTTCCTTGCACTCAGCCAAAGCGTTTCGCGCTCGCGAATGCTTCAACTCGCCGTAAATTTCCTTGTTATCAAGCGTGTGCAAAGCAAGCTGCACCAACATTTGGTAATGCTCCACCTCGGAGATCCCCTCCTTCAAAACATTGCAAACATCCAGTAACTTCGCGCTATCATCGAGATATTCGTCCACCCACTTGTCGTCCCGGGAAAGAGATAAAGACAATTGCGACTCGGGAATGAGGACCTCAACGTTGGCGTGGGTGGCGAGCACAATGGACATAGCTTGGAGCAACCAATCGACGCTCAAGAAGCCCTTCTCCTCACCAGCAGGCTTTAACGCGTCCAAGCGCTCCTTCAACCGGGTTTCAAATTCATGCAACACAGGGCATTGCTCCGCCGAAGCACTCACGGTGTGACTGCTACGATGCAGCGAGAAGTGAAAATTCAACACCGCACCAAGACTCGCGAGTATAGACGATCCTTCTTTGAGCGTCATCTTTCAAACCCAACAACCAAGAACCCACAATCCAAACCTTGCAAAGACAGGACAAGAACAACGAAAACTCCCAAAACACACTCGGGTTCATACAATAGCACAGCGATGTGGTAGGCATGCCTCTAAACCAAGGAAAAATAAATAAATAAATAAAAATAAACGCAACGCAACGCAACGCGCTTAACAACCAAACCACCCTCACCCGAAACTCCACTAAAATTCACTGGAATAACAGAATGCTGCACGAATTTCACCGCGGCAACTCCAGAAAAAAGCAAGTACCCAAGTGAAACAAAGCAGAAAGGGTATGAAGAAAAGCTACAAGCCACCTAGTCATGCACAGACTAGCTCAGCATACGGCCAGATTCTGGAATTATAGGGGCTTCTGCTTGTGCTGCTGCTGCAGCACGCGAGGCGTAATGAGGAAGTCGAAGCAGAAGCGCATGAGAGAGCGTGGCAACGCGGGGTACCCCATTGGAGGGGGATTGTTGTTGTCACTCTGCAGCATCAGCAGTCTCGATTTCTGGGCTCCAACTCGTTTAAAGTCGCCGAAGGCAACGCTTTTTTGCGGAATCAAATGGCGACTTAGCTTCGGATCTCGTGTTGCCTCGCCTCGCCTCACCATGCGGGTCCCTGTCCCACTCTGGATCCTATTCACACAGGCGCCTTCTTACTTCCTCCTGACCCTGTTCACACGACCAACTACGGAGTCTTTCATGATTGCGAATCCCAGGGGGTTCTGTTCACACGAAAGCTTTTTAGCTTTTTTTCCCGAAATGACGTGTTTGGGTTCTGTTCACACTTTGGGCCATGGGCTCTGCTCACGCGCGTGCCACTTGGCTTGATCAGGGAACTGCTTGTGATGGTTCTGTTCACACAGGTGCCGTTTGGCTCCGTTTCCAAAGTTGGGTCATTGCGACTACCCCACCATCAGTTTACAGACACAATATTTTAAATTTCGTTTTTGAAATATCTAAATTATAGCATAATTTGTCAGGCAAGTTACTCTGTTTTTCTCTCTGTTATTTCCTTCTACAATTTTATTTTTTTCTTATCTTTTATTTTTATTTTTATTTTTTCTCTAGCATCCATGTTTATTGACACACATGGATGTAAGACAGATGAAGTAAAAAGATTAGAGTACAAGCTAGGTACCTATTTTGCAAAATCAATTTGTATGTATGTATAATATCCAACATGCATATGTAGACATGTTTCATAAAGAACATTAGGGACACTTTATATATACAAGCCTACTTTCAAAGGCCATAGTTTAAAAGCCTGCTTAAGGTCCCTTCCTTTGTAAAGAAAAGCCCTTCTTACCTATCCCCTATATATAAAGTGTCTCTTAAATTTTTGTTCATAGGTTTTAAAAACCAACTTTTAATATGCATGTATGAATACATTTATAAAAAAAAACACTCTTGTTGGTTTACAATTTTGATATAAGATCTTTATGCATGGTCTTTGGAATCTTTACATCCTATTACAGTGCAAATATTAAAGAGGTACAGATCAATAATATATATATATATATATCAATAAATATTTTTTAGTTTTATTATGTGAAGTTTAAATTACCAAATTTTCTCATAGTTTTTTTAACTTATATGCAGAATTTGCATTATTTACTTTTTAGTTACTTTATAATTCAAACTATACTACAAATATCATACAACTTGCTACAATAAACTCAACCATTGGAAAAAAAGATGAAGAAATATTGTATTTTATTGCTTTCATTGGTATTTTTTTTCAATGGTTGAATTTATTTGTAATCATAACTAAAAGCAATAAAATAAAAAAATGAAAAAATGAATATATATATATAATAAATAAATATGATGTTTGGAATCAAAAATAGTATTAAAAATGTTAATTTTAACTGTTGAAAATTCAATGAAATGAATTCACTCAAAAGAAGAACTCAAATAATGTCAATTGAGCTAGAAGATAATGATCACATCTATCAACTTCTCAAAATCTTTACAAGCTACAATGTTGAAACAAAGATACATCTGTAGACAGATTAGGGAGACATTGAACATTCTTGATGAAGCCCCTATAGAGCTTGCCCAGCCCATAATCCCATAATCCATAATCCACAATACCCATGTGATCCATAGGATGGATTGGTTCCATGAAGACTTAATGAGATAAGTTTAGGAGCCAGCAATTGAAAATAATATGTGCTGAATAAAAATTGAATAAGGTTGCATCATTCCACGATGACCACATTTAAGCTTGGGCACCAGTGTCCTTTCCTTCCTTGATGAGGTTTAATGAATCACTTCGTGAGTCAGGAGACCTTGGTACCTCTCCAGAATTTACACCCTGAAGGGTTTCCAAAGGGATTTTCTATGAATTTCTTGTCCAACTTGAAATGATAGCCATAGTAGTTAATTGGTGTGGGTCGCCTTCATCTCCATGGAGCACCCTCGTTGGAGTTTCTCAGGGTTTAGGGTTTAGGGGAACTGGTTCTGGATTTAGGGCTAGGGTTCTGATCTTCGCAATTCTATTTCGCATTGTGCTTAGCAGGTAGTCTGGAGGAAGCCCGTGCCTGGTCTAAACAACTTTTTTTTATAGATGCCCCTCTCAGAATTTGATTATTTTTTTTATAGATGCCCCTCTCAGAATTTGATCAAATCGACGTTGAAATTTTTTCTATAGAATAAAAATAATAATGAAAATAAAAAAAATCAAAACAAAGAACCGCTACAAAGGATGAAAATATTGCACAAAGAAAAGCGGCTCTTGTTTGCAAGGTCACTAATGCGTCAGTATGATGGCCTGCCGCCGTTTGGTATTTGGGTTTCAAATGATTAGAATGTCTCCCTGACGACGATCCTAGTTTTTTCGCTTGACTGAGGCATTCCATTTTAGGCGTCAACTCGGACCATGGGTCGATACTTACCAAGACAAACTAGGCAGATTATCGTTTCATTAGTAGTAGCCACATGAAGACTCTTGACACCTAAATTGGTTGCAGGCTCTGTCAGCTGTAATGTAAACTGTTTGCGGAAAATGGCTCCTATACACTACGAACTGGAATTATACACATAGGATGATTGAGGTAGGGAAGGTTTACAACTAGTGTGAGCGTAGCAACTCTGATGGGTTCACAATTAAGGTAGCGCCGCGAATTGGCAGCAGTCGTCTTCCCCATCGAAATAATTAGTGTTCGAAGTCATTACGTATGAATAAAATATGTAATTCCTGTATATAGACGTTATTGCCCAGCCCTTAAGTGATTTGCATAGGAATATTATTGCACTGGCTCTGAACTGGAATGATCGGAAGACATACTTGTCTCACTCTGAGACCTGGAGTAGAACCGCCTGAAAGTCGACGTGGGTAAACTTCTGGACTCCACGTTCGTCCTCTCAACATTCAGCGTTGGCGTGGAGTTGTCATTTGCTGATGCTTTCACGGTGGAGGGCGACCCACGAATGGTTCGAACACTTCGCAGCACACGTGTTGGTGTTGAAAATGTGGGAGATGGTACTGTTTCTGGAACAGAGGGGTCAACTGGCAGTTCAATGCTTAAGTTCATCAATGGCCCATCTGTAATGGTGTTGCCATTCTTGTATGACCCTGAACCGTTGTTGTTTGACCGGTAATGGAGTCCTGGGAAGGAAGGACGTGGTGATGATCTAGAACTCCAGGTGAGACTTGTCCGTGGAGATGCTGCTGACGGAGCAGTTGCATCACTCGAAGAGTCTGCTTGCGAGCGGAGAAACTCCATTGTTTGCGTCATTTTTTCAATAGAATCCGGGGAGGCAGGAGTACCCAAAGATATCTCAGTCGGCTCCTGCAACCCTAGTACCTTCAACTGTTTTCCAAGAGCTAAGATGGTGCGTTGACACTCCGCTAAAGCAGCTGCTGCTATCTCTTTCTCCTGAAAATTAGAAGTGGCATGTAAGTTATGATATAAGCGTCAAAGCGAGATTTAACATCACAAGCGGCCAGTATTTGTTGAAATATTGTGCGAGGCAGTATTATACCTTCCGTGCACTTTTGGTGGCGTCGTCCTGCACTAATGTCAGTTGCAACTGCTCGCCTTCCTTGAAATTTGACCGTTCCGGTGAATTGTCCATTCGTCCAACTCCCCTGATACATGGTTGACCACTTCCCTCAGCCAGTATGCTTGATGTGAAGTTCAAAATTTAGAGATATCTAAGTGAATGCGCATGGGAGCGAGTATCAGGAGTGTAACAAAAACTTACCTATCTATTTGTTCCTGCAGATCTTCGAGCTTTGCAACAACCTCCTGGTGCCGACGCCGCTCACCATGAAGCTCAACTTCCAAAGCCGCCACTTTGTCATGCAGTTGATGCATTTCAGCATCAGCAGCTCGCATGCTGGACGCTAGGCCTAGAGTTGGGAACGAAAGCTCCAGCAATTCTTGTTCTATCAAATCCTCTTCCTTCTCAGTTTCATTTGCAGCCTACACAGGTCAAGCATCTAGGAATTTATAAGTCGAATTATTAACATCTGCCGTCACAGAAATATGGCACAGAAAGATAACAAAAGCAATGAATTCTCACCGTTCCTGTTGAGCCAGAGTTAAGATCAAGGTCATACCTGCCGTGTTTGTAATTCTGTAACAAGAGACTCGGTTTCACTCAGCCGTACCCTCAGTTCTTCCACTCGCTCGTTGGCTTCGACTAAATGTTGATCTACTTCTAACAATTTTTTCTCAAGTTCAGTTTTATCTACCCTCAGTTGAATGATTTCAGATTCGACTGGAGGAAACCGATCCATTTCCTTCTGCATCTTCCTTTCCACATCTGCACCATCTGCTCGAATTCTGCACAGCTCCTCTTCCAGCTGAGATATGTGAACCCGAGCAGATTCTAATTCCATAGATATGACCAGTCGCTCCCTAGCTGATTGGTCACGATCTTTCCGCAACTCCTCAAATGCAGTAATGTGCACAATCAGGATGCAGTCCAGGGTGGTCGTGAGCTCCACCACAAACTTCAGAACATCTGATCCATTCTCAAGAAACCCAGTGGCAGCTTCTATCAGGCTGCTCATGGAATTCTTCAATGTCGAACCTTTCCAATGCAAGGACAACTCAATGGAATTGCTAGTGTCGTGATGCTCTGCTTTAGTGGAGGCAGATTCCGTTCCGCCCTCTAGAGCAAGGGCTTCAGTAATGTGCACCAATTTCTGAATAGCCACAGCTAGCTCGCCGTCACCTACAGCACTCTCTCTTTTCTGCTCTTGATTCTCCAGTAAAGAGTCCAATTGGACTTGCAAATCCACGACCAGCTGCTTGTGAGTAGCATCCCTAGTTTGCAAGATTTCGAGCTGTTCTTCGACCGCAGCAAGCTTTGTTCTGAGCTCGTGACACATTTGGTTTGCAGCCTCTAGGTCCTTGTCCTTAATTGCCAGTGGCTCTTCAAGGCCAGCAATTCGAAGCGTAATGTTAGGATCGTCCGCAGCGCTGAAGTCAACAGCAGCCTCTACTGTTTGCTCCGAGCCTGACACTGAATGACATCGAGACTGTGAATTCGCCAACCGTTCCATTTCTTCGAAATCGTCCATAAGGTCGAAGTTCAGGGAGTCTCGTTTGGAACTTCGCGCTTTCATGGACGACTCACTGATTATTGATGGGCCTGATGTCCATTTCTCAGATAACGATACTTTCTCCACTTCTGCAGCAGATTTCGAAGCTGTAAGATGCACAGGAAGTCATCGTGGCCATCAGGTCAGTTAGATTTAGCAACGGAAATCCATGGTACGGTTTAAAGCCAACTAAGGAATATACCTAATCTCAAAGCCTCGACTTCCTCCTCCACAGCTGATAGCCGGCTGGCAGTTTTCGCACACATGATCCGAGCGCCTTGTAACTCTTCGTCTCGCTTAGCTAGAGATTCCTTGAGCACACGGGTCTCCTCTTCCAGATTTACAATCTTCTCGGCTGAAATATTAACCTCCATTAGCAAATGTTCCTCTTGTGCAGATACGTGGTCGGCTCCGGTTTGACCTCTTCCCAAAGGTCGTCTGCGAGGGCTTCTCCCGGCGTCTCTTCCTGGCGAATGCACATCTTGCCTCACCCGCGCCACTGCTGAGTTACCTGTACGCAAAAACCATGTGATGAGCTTGATATGATTGAAAAGCACAATACTTAAAAATCATAATGAGAACAAAGTTTCAGGGTAGAAGCTCTACTTGGAGGCTTTTTGCGGTTCAAGGTACGAAGCCGAGTACACTCTTCGTCAAGCTTGGTGATCTTCTTCAAAGCTTCTGCGTGTTGTTTAGACAATACCTCTGTCGCTTTCCTCCCCTGCTCAAGTTCCGATTGTCGGGCCTCAAGTTCTTTCTTTACGAGTTGAATATCGTGCTTAAGGGTCAAATTTTCTTTTTCCATTCCCTCCAGCCGCACCTACACGAGTTCCAGAAGGAAACTGAGATTTCTTCAATATTTCATCATTAAAGCATCCTCCGACCACGTTCAAATTCGACACGAGGTTTCAGGCCTAGGCACGATTTTATACCTGAAGTACTTTGACGTTGTTCTCTGCACGTGCCCTAAAATTAGAAGCTTCTGCTACAGCATTCGACCGATTCTGCATTCAAATTATCAAAAGAGACTGTCAACCAAGATAACGAGATAGCCGAACTTAGTCGGTTGTGACAGTATTGCGCCAAAGATGAAGCTCGAAATAGCGACGAGGAGATTATGCAAACTTGGCACCTGCAAGGCAAGCGAGAGAGCTTTATTTTCAGCTCGAGATTCGAGCAGCTCAGCTCGCGTTTGAGCAACGACATGAGATGCTTCAGCCAATTTGGCCTCCATCTCTGCTCGGAGTTTATCGTTCTCTTGTGTCTTCTTAACGATGGTTTCGTGGATACGCTGTTCTTGCTCTTCGCGTCCACTGCGAAGCTGCTTCATGACCTCCTTAAGAGCCCCATCCAAGTGTTGTACGCGGTCCTCCGTGGCCAGCTTTTGTTGCGTGGCAACATCAAGCTCCTGTTTAAATGCCACTGCCTCATTCTCGGCTCTCTCCCAGCCTGAAGTGAAGATCGCCAGACTCCTGCGGTTATAACCCCGATCATAACATACACACCGATCTACGTTCAGTGAGAAATAAATCAGTTGGATACAGGGTAAAAGAAGTCGAGCTTACCGATTACAGCCTCTTCGGCTACTTTAATGTGTTGCTTGACAAGTTCATCTTTGACAGTAATCTCTGCAAGGGCAGCCGTGAGTTTCTTGTTCACGGCGTCCAGTTTCTCGTTGAACGACTTCTCTTTATCGCAATACTTCTCATTAGCTTCACGAAGGGTGCATCCCATTTGCTCTTGCTGGATTCGGACTTGGTCCTCGAGTATTCTGGCAACTTCCTGTAAATGGCAAAAAACATGAGCTGCATAAGCAAGAAGGTTCTTAATGACTTATGAGGTGCTATGTTCCAATTACAGAAGATTGTAACAAATGCAAGGGCCTGCGGAATAGCCAACTCGGAATAAAAAAGCACATTGAGATTGAGACCTGTTCATCGAAAAGCTTCACCGGAGTAGGAGACGATCCTCCCTCCGAAAGTCCATTCTTCTTCTTCCATGGCCAGGACCGCCGTTTCTCTAATTCTTTATCCATTCTAGCTCACTTTGCCTTCTGATTCTGAATAACGTTAACCCCTACCTGTTCCACCTTCAGGATAGAAAACATTCAATAGTGCTGAGGAACCTGATCCAACGAAAATGCTAGGTGTAAGCATTTTGAAACCCAGCACTCAGCCACTGGAACATTTTGACTAAGGAACTATTTTCATACAAAACCTGGGCCACTCCTCCATGGCCTATGCTGTTGAATGTACAACAATAAATCATTAAATCATGAAATAAATGTAAATTCCACTCTTGAGACGGCAAGGACTGCCACTGGAAATTAATCAATCGAAGCTGCGTATGAATTCTTATCTACAGTACTCACGATATTTTGACAGTTAACTATGACTTTGAGGGTGTGCACGGCTCTTGTTTGCCAGCCCTTTATCGTCAAGCCCAATGCATCCTGCCCTGACGCCCTCTGATGAGCTTCGCACGTTGGTGTGCAAAGGTGTACAAGTTGTGAGCACCTTACGCAAAAAGATCATTGCAATCTCCGCGCCACTGAATTCTAAACTGCATGAGCTTGTGGCCGGATCGACACTAGGCCCTACACCAACTCATCAAGGCCTGGAGCTCTATTTCTCCTACTCCACCGACCAACTCTCAATCCGTCATATTCATCACCCACGTAAATCGATTGGGAGGTCTCAGCCGCCACGAGATTTCTTCCTCGCTCTCCGCAGCATGATCCTGCCTCAACAAATCGATCACACCTCGCCTCGGCGCACTACACCTGTGCAAGTCACAATTTAAAGGAATACAGATTCTCTTCCTACGCTGTGATGATGCAGCATTCATCTAGAATTCACAATCTGGATTCTAGTAAGACCTCTCTGTCTCTACATTCACCAACACCATTCCTGCGCCAGAAAGCTACAAACTAGAAACCTAAGAACGCTCTCATAGCAGCCAATACAACCTCCGCAACGCATAAACCTGGCGACTGCAGCACGAATCCTAACACTGCCACTCCAACTCAACGCTGCAAACACAATAACTTCGTCTTTACAAACGGAACTCACTCCCCTCAACACAGCCAGCTCAATTCACAGCTCATAATTCACCACACGCTAAAAGCACAAGAGTTCCCTCTATGCCATCCGGAATAATTACCACTAAAGAAGCTTGGCAAGCAATCAAGTGACTCAGTCCAACTCGCACAACACCTAAGCTCACCCTCACTCCCCCCTCTGTAACGCTCCGATCCAACTTTAGAATCCAATCCCCTTCTCTTCCCCACACACGAACAAAATCACTCGCCCCTCATGAAGCCTGACGCCAATGATGACAACCATACGCAACATGTGACCGAGAACATGTCCCAAATGCTAACAATCCAAGACTGTAGTGGAAATGATCACCGCCGTAATGATCACGTGCTCCTCCTACTTCGAAGCCAAACAAACGTCGATTATTCGTGCAGAAATCCACCGCAGCAGCTACCAAACAAACAGTGCTCTGGCAATCCCAGTATGACAAAAGCAACACCAACTAAGATCCACCCACAATCTCTCTCTCTCTCTCTCTCTCTCTCTCATACTTCTTCCGATTGATCCAATGCTTCTTACCTCTGGCAAAGCAGATTCCGGCTTTTAATTCATCTCGGCATGCTCTGTGCCTGCCTCCTATCAGTGAGATGCTGAGATTCGGAGGGGACCGGAAGTTCATGCCAAGTGACAGAGAGCGAGGGAGGAAGTGAGGGAAGATCAAGAGAGTAATTGCCTCTATCCATGAATCGAATGATGAAGTCGTATCGTCTCGGGTACGCTGGCAAGCATAGTGTGTGCAGGAGGGAAAAAGAGAGGCAGAGTGAGTAAGAGGCGCGGGCAGGCGGGAGGGAGGGAATTGACAGGCAAAGCAAACTAGTTGGTGCGTTTAGTTAGTTGAGAGTTGCGATGGTGGTGAGGAGCCCACACAGTGTATTTCTTCGCCACTGCATGGTCACACCATCCAAGAGTCTATTGCTTCCCCTCTTACCCCAAGGCCATGTCACACCTCTCAATCAACTCATTTTATAGGCATGCGTTCAATCACATTGCCAATTCCGATTGTTCAAAATTGAATTGGAATCTCATAGTTCGTTAGAGACATGGCTGTAGAATTGAGGTGTTTGCAGAGCACTAGTTTTGCAGAAAAAAAAGCAGCACTTGGAAGACAAGATACATGTAATAATTATCTCAAGTTAGTGATGGCATTAACAAAAGCCATGACTGTTTTAGTGGGAAAACAAACAAGTAGATAAATCGAAAATTCTCTGTACTTTTTTTTACATTTTAAGGATTAAATTAAGAGTCAAAGATGCTCCAGTTGTATTAATCCTTGTGCAGAACTTGCTCTTACAATAATAGTAATAACAACGGATGAAGAAATCTATTATTCATCTGATAATCTTTTTCAGCTTGGATTCTAGGAGTCCAAAGCATCCTTTCTTTATTCCATAAAACAAGGGGGGCATCACATGGCCCACATGACATGTAAGCTCCACTTGTTCTTTCCTTTGACCTCTCTCAAGATGTGAGATACAAAAAACTATTTTCCTAATGTTGAGGTAAGAAGGGGCAAGCGCCTAAGACTGTGGCAATGTTCTCTTCCACTTGGGGTGCCACACAACCAATCATTGTACGCCCACTTCCACACAAGTCATTCCCACAACATTAGGTTTTAGACATCCCCAGGAACAAGGTGGAAAAAAGCAAGTGCAAATCCAGTATTTCATTCAAAAGTCAGTCTGAGAAATGACATGCTGGGAAACTGTTGTTAAAATAGGGGTCACAGTGACTCCCTGATCACACTGAGAGCCTAGACTAGTCAACCACAGCCCTTGCAAAAAAGCCTGCCTTGGTACAGCTCTTGCTCCAGATTTGTGGCTTCATGTGCAATTTTTCCCAATGTAGCGGAAGCAAGTGAGGTGGACCCATGTAGATGTGCAGTCATCCATATGGACAGAAAAAAAAAAAAAAAAAAAAAAAAAAACACATGTGTGGCACATGAGCATCTGCTTCTGTAGACAGAAAACACACACATATACACACTGGCTGGCTATGGTCAAAGGGCCCTCTTCTTTGAGCATGAAATTACAACCACCCGGTGGATTGCAGGTGAAAGAAAGAGATCCAAAAGCCAACCTTTGCTCACATCCATGATGTGTACACTCCCCAATTGTTTTGACCCCTTTTATTTTACTTCCACTCAACCCATTGTTTCATATGAATCTATTGTAGATCTTTTGGATTTGCTGTCCTGTAGGGGTCAATCTAACTCCCTGGCTTGGGGAGGATGTGACATGGCCCAAGTAGATGGATGATGAGAGAAATCATCGTTTTCATCCATCCATGGATGTGGCACCTGTGTTTGATTGTACAGGAGGTCAAGCTCTCTGTCAAAGAGATCCCTCCCTGCAACTATTGGGTTTGGAATTTTTGGAAGAAGGTGTGTCTTTGTGGACAAAGGCTTTCTCTAACTGCTGGAGAGGGTGAACAACAGCCCCCCAAAAGGCTCCCTCAGGGCACCTCGCATTATTGCCCCTGTTCTTTGACTGGCCTCTCAGACACTCTAAATCTAGGTGCATTATTTTGTAATGGATATGGGGGACTGGGCATATGAGCAGTTGAGTTGGGTTGTAGCAAAAGGAGTGTCCATTTGCATTCTTTGGAGTAAAATAAATAAATAAATAAATAAATAAAAATGGCATCTAAGTTGGAGGATTCTAAAGAAATTCTATTTTAACTTCTTGTGTAACCACTTGGCGTTTCACTGTTAGTTGTCTTTTTTTTTTCAGAAATTATTGATGTTTTTTCATGGAAAGAATTTCAAACAGAAAAGCTTCATCAAATGGGTGTGTAATTTTATGGAATTCATAAATATGGAGAATTTTGATTCAGGATGCATTGATATTTAAAATAAAAATAAAAATAAATTCTGTAGAAGTTATTGAAATCTTAATATTTTCATATCTTCAGTGAAGTCTGTATGGAAACATTCTTTTTTCTTTATCATGTTTGATTTTAGCAAAATATTTGTTTCAATTCCAAAATGTAACACAAAATATCACTACTGTAAATTTAGTTTTAAAAAGATGGCCTCATAATGAGTAAAATTATGTTTCATGTTTATATGCAACAAAGTGGTGTAATACAATAGAATCATAGAATTTAAAATAAAAGATATGCTTTCTAAGATAACATTCCGAACTTTATGTAAATTTTGAGGCTGTGTTGGTGTAAAGCACAACATTATTTTATTCAAGGTTTTTGAATGAACTTACAATAGTATAAGTTGCAGTAGTAAATCATTCATAAATGATATACATTCAATTCCAAGAAATAATCTTCCTTCATTAATATGACCTGTCAGAACGTTTTTGTGTTTCAAGCTTCCTACATATATATATAGAATTATATACACACACATGCACACAATAATAACAGTGACAATAAGTACCAAATGAGTTGAATGAGTATGTGGGTAGATTCTACTACACCAATAAATCTTTATGGTAATAGGTAGACAGTCACATCTTTCATAAATATATATGCAGTCAACTAATACTTCACATTCTTTATATGAGAAAGTAATTCAAATAAATAAAAGTAAATAAAAATAAATAAACTAAAAAAGGAAAACATATATATTACAGAGCACACCAACAGGAAAGATGGAGATTGATAAACAACTGTTGGTACTTAATTCCTACTTTTTCAATTTTGGACCATGGAAAGTGTGAGTATGTGGGAGCCTTCCCTTACACATACTTGTTGATACCCAAGCTAAAGAGAAATGTGTATATAAGGTAAGGGGATTTGGCTTGGCTTAACTCAGCACTGCATGTACTGAGCAGCTTAAGAGCAGTGCTGATGCAGAACTAATTGGCCTGACCATTTCATATGAAGCTCCTTTATGCAACAATCCTCACCCTTTGAATTACCCCCAGTAGATTGTTTGGTGCTGTGGATGTTCCCCTCTTACCACAAATAGATTGAAAAGAGGTAAAAGAAAAAGAAGAAAAAAGCAAGAAAAAAATAAAAGATGTAAAAGTTGCAAAATCAAGTAGGGAGGGGCCAAAAAGCAACCCCCATTAGATGCATCTTGTGGGGTGTGGTGTGGTGGTAGTAATAGTAGTATACAATCTGGGCTTCAATGATGGACATAGGTCTTTCCAATTAGGGTACAGTCCCATTTTTCAGAGGAGCCTTGTAATACATACATACAGATGGCCACAGATACAGGTACAGAGAGACCCACCACTGAATGTGGGTTCATGGTGGCCTCTCTGTGGCATGGTTCTGCAGTTAGTAGTAAGGTTGTGGTGTGCTACAGGGACAAGTCCTTCCGGAAGGTACTGGACCCTGTGCTGGGTTGGTTCCATTGCAAGCCTATGAGGCTTCTGGTGCCATGCTGGCATTGAAGCCCCATTCAGTATGGTCCCTTCCCCATGAGGATGGGGCTTCTTCACATCACATCCCCTCTTTTGGCCTTCAATGTGAAAGCTCACTTCAACTTTTTTTCTCCTTCTTCCCACTTATGGCTCCCGAACCAATCTCAGGTTCGGTTCCGGAGCACTCCTAGGTCTGGACCGGACCTCAGAGTTAGTCAGGCTCGGAGGTGAATTCCCTGTCTGTCAATTTTTGGGTGGTGAGATCCGCTTTGGGCTGGGAACCCTCACCTTGCGAAAATTAGGGTTTATGATTCAACGGGGCTGCGTAAATGCGTTTGCAGCAGGTCAATCTTGCGGAAGTACTGGGTGTTGTTAGGGCGATGGGAGGGGAACAAAGTACTGGAGACTGAAAGGAAATCTTTTAGTTGCTGCGTTCAAAGCAGCCTACTTGAGGGCACTGTGTTCCGTCGTTTGAAGGCTTTCATCAGATCGCCCTTCGTAAGTGAGGAAGGAGCTCAGGTGGATTGCGATGCCGCGTCGGATACAGTTCAGGATCTTTCCACGCCTTCCTTGACCTTCGTTTGTGGACGATTATCCTAAATTTGCGCAGATAGTCCACGTTTGGAAATGTGTCGAAATCCTTGCATTTGGAGTCGGGGCCTGCTTGGTGCACCGGGAAAGCTGGGGTTAGCTTCGAAGTGTAAGCCAAGTTACTTCGAGTGGCTGCAGCTCCATCATGCTTTCTTTTGGTGCGATTGGAATGTTTAGCAACTCGATTTTATCATGGTCTCTCAACACTTTAACCTTAAACCCTAGACCGTCAGATCTCAAGTTGATTACCCGCAACAAACTACTTCTAAAATTTTGACAACAATCTCAACCTTGAAATTTCAAAAAAAAAAAAAAAAAAAAAAAAAAACCCTACTACCCCATCCTGGCCACAAGGAATCAGTTCCATGGCAATTGCATTCAATTTAGAATTCATCAAGAGAAAACAAGTGAGGACATTCACAGCCCCGTATGCGATGATGGCGACGAAGGACCGTAAAAGGCTTAATTGAGGGATGACATACCTAGCTGGACGTAGAGTCACCGCTGTTACTCAGTTTAGCGACGCATTTCTGCCCACCTCATTGGCAACAACTCGCGGAATGTGTATCGTAGAAGTTACGAAGCAACGTTTACGCTCTTGAAGCAACACATTTAAGTTACGGCGTTCCAGGCACAAAATACAACTTCATCTTCTCACGTTCTGCTCACTCACAGCATCTTACAAACCCTGTACCAAGAGCCAACTTCCCACTCTGGAGAGGAGGCATGGAAGCACTTGCAATGACCTCCATTGCAAGGACATAATCTAGGCCCTGTTATACTTGGAGTCACAATGGGTCTTAAGGAACTAGGTTGTCCGATTGTGTGCTGAAACAGAGCTGTTGGATAACAACACAAAATCTATGTGATCCATGACCTTAAGTTCCTTGAGAACCTTGGTCTCATTTGACTAGAAGCTAGCCTTGGGAGACAGA